TCATATGATTTTTGTTCTTTATTTTGTTAATGTGGTGTATCACATTAATTGATCAGCAGATGTTGAACCATCCCTGCATCCCTGGAACAAATCCTACTTGATCATGGTGTATGATCCTTTTCATGTATTGTTGTATTCAATTTGCTAATATTTTGTTGACAATTTTTGCATCTATGTCATCAGTGATATTGGCCTATAATTTTCTTTTTGTTTTGCCTTTGTCTGGTTTTGGTATCTGGGTAATACTGGCCTTGTAAAAATGAGTTAGGAAGTGTCCTGTCTTCTTCAATTTTTTGGAAGAGTTTGAGAAGGACTGGTATTAAATCTTCTTTGAGTGTTTGGTATAACTCACCAGAGAAGATATTTGGTCCTGGACTTTTGTTTTCGGGCAGATTTTTGATCACTCTTTCAATCTGTTTGCTTGTAATTGGTCTATTCAGATTCTCTATTTCTTCTTGATTCAGTTTTGGGAGGTTGTATGATTCAAAAAATTTATCCATTTTTCTAGGTTATCAAGTTTGTTGGTGTATAGCTTTTCATAGTATTCTCTTATAATCCTTTCTATTTCTGTGGTATCTGTTGTAATTTCTCTTTCATTTCTGATTGTATTTATTTGAGCCTTTTTTCTTTTTTCTTAGTGAGTCTAGCTAAGGGTTTGTAAATTTTATTTATCTTTTTAAAGAACCAGCTCTTAGTTTCATTGATCTTATTGTATTTTTAGTCTCTATTTCATTTACTTCTGCTTGGATTTTTATTATTTCCTTCCTTCTACTTACTTTGGGATTTGTTTGTTCTTCTTTTTCTAGTTATTTTAGGTGTATTATGAGATTGCTTACTTAAGATTTTTTAGTTTCTTAAGATGGGCCTGTATTACCATATACTTCCCTCTTAGTACCACTTCTTCTGCATTCCATAGATTTTAGTATGTTGTGTTTTCACTTTCATTTGTCTCCAGATATTTTTTGATTTCTCCTTTGATTTCTTCAATAATCCAATAGTTGTTCAGTAGTATGCTGTTTAGTCTTCACATATTTGTGACTTTTCCAGTTTTCTTCTTGTAGTTAATTTCTAGTTTCCCACCATTGTGGTCAGAAAAGATGCTTGATATGATTCCAATCTTCTTAAATTTACTGAGACTTGTTTTGTTTCCCAAGATATGGTCTATCTTTGAGAATGTTGCATGTGCACTTGAGAAGAATGTGTATTCTGCTGCTTTTGGATGGAATATTCTATACATAACTGTCAAGTCCATTTGGTCTAGTGTTTCATTTAAAGCCAATATTTCCTTGTCGACTCTGTCTACATAATCTATCCATTGATGTTAGTGGGGTATTAAAGTCCCCTACTATTATTGTGTTGCTGTCAATTTCTCCCTTTAGGTCTGTTAATAGTTGCTTTATATACTTTGGTGCTCCTATGTTAGGTGCATATGTATTAATAAATGTTATGTCTTCTTGGTGGAATGTCCCTTTTATCATTATTTAATGTCCACCTTTGTCTCTCTTTATCTTTTTTGGCTCGAAGTCTATTTTGTTTAATATAAGTATAGCTACAGCTTCTTTCTCTTGCTGGCCATTTGCTTTAAGTGTCATCTTCCACCTTTTCATTCTGAACCTATGTTTGTCATTGGAGCTGAGAGGGTCTCCTGGAGGCAGCATATTGTTGGGTCTTATCATTTAACCCATCCAGCCATTCTGTGTTGTTTGATTGGTGAACTCAATCCATTCATATTGAGAGTGATTGTTGATATATGAGGGGCTAATATTTTCATTTTATCTTCTGTTTTCTGGTTATTCTATATTTCCATTGTCTGTTTTTCTTGTGTTTCTGTCTCCCATTTCAGTTTGGTGGCTTTCTGTGATGTGTTTCTCATTTTCCTCTTTTTTTTATGTTTTGTGACTCTGCACTGATTTTTTTTTTTTTATGGTGGTTACCATGAGGTTTGTATAAAAGATCTCATAGATGAGACAGTCCTTTTTCTGCTGATAGCATCTTATCTCCATTTGTCTATTCAGGTTCTATCCTTTTCCTCTTCCTCTTCTGTTTTTGTTGTCAAAAATCATCCCTGTTTGTATTGTGAGTTTGTTACCAAATTGAAGTAGTTGTAGTTTTTTGGTTTTTTGGTGGTGGTTGAGGAATATTTGCCCTGAGCTAATATCTGTTGCCATCTTCCTCTTTTTGCTTGAAGAAGATTTACCCTGAGCTAACAAGTGTGCCAATCTTCCTCTACTTTGTATGTGGGTTGCTGCCACAGTACGGCTGATGAGTGGTGTAAGTCCACACCCAGAATCTGAAGGTGCAAATCCAGGCCACCAAAGCAAAGTGCACCAAACTTAACCACTATGCCATGGGACCAGCCAATGAAGTAGTCATAGTTATTTTTGATGCTTTCCTTCCTTTTAGCCTTTATGTTATAATTACATGTTTACTAACATATTCTGTTAGAGTTGCAGTTTTCTGATTCTGCCTATTTACCACCTTGCTCAAAGTTTTGTATACCTCTGCCTTTTTGTTTCAGATAGGAGGGCTCCTTTCAACATTTCTTGTAAGGCAGGTCTAGTGGCAATGAACTCCCTTAGCTTTTGTTTATCTGAGAAAGTCTTTATTCCTCCTTTATATTTGAAAGATAACTTTGTTGAATAGAGTATTCTTGGCTGATAGCTTTCATCTTTCAATAATTTGAATATATCATTCCACTCTCTCCTAGCCTATAGAGTTTCTGCTGAGAAACACACTGATAGCGTAATGAGAGTTCTTTTGTAAGTTATTTTCTTCTCTTTGGCCACCCTTAATATTCTTTCTTTGTCATTGACTTTTGATCATTTTAATATAATATTCCTTGGAGAACGTCTTTTTGCATTGAGACAATTAGGTGTTCTGTTAGTTTCATGTACTTGTATATCTAGTTCCTTCTCCAGGTTTGGGAAGTTCTCAGTTATTATTTCTTTAAATAAGCTCTCTGCTCCTTTCTCCCTCTCTTCTCCTTCTGGGACACTCATTATCCTTATATTTCTTTTCCTAATTGAATCTGATATTTCTCATAGAATTTCTCCATTTTTTTAAATCTTAGTTCTCTCTCCTATTCCCCCTGAATCATTTCTAGATTTCTATCTTCAAGCTCACTAATTCTCTCTTCCATAAGGTCTGCTCTATTTCCAATGCTTCCTACTGTATTCTCCTTCTCATTTATTGACTTCTTCGGCTCTATAATATCTGTTTGGTTCTTTTTTTAGAGTTTCAACCTCTTTGGTAAAGTACCTCTTCTGGTCATCAATTTTATTATTGAGCTCATTGAACTGTCTTTCTGAGTTTTCTTGTAGTTCATTGAGTTTCTTCATGACAGCTGTTTTGAATTCTCTGCCAGTTACATCACAATCTTCTATGACTTCAAGTTTGGTTTCTGTAGAGTTGTCATTTTCTTCTTCTCTTACTGTGTTATTCTGGTTCTTCATGGTGCCTGATGAATTGTTCCTCTGCTGGTGGATTTGTGGTAGCAAACACCTTTCTTATTTGAGTAAGGCTTTGGTTACTTTGATTCTGAGCTGCTTCCGGTTGTATTTGAGAGCCAGCACTTTCCACCCTCCACTGCATCTGCCAGAGGTGTTGTCAGTGCCCTCTTTAGGCTGTTTCTGCCTCTGAGGTTGCTGGTGCCTTGCTGCTTACAATGTCACTGCAGTAGTGGGTGTTGCTACTGGGGTCACCAGGCTGCAAGCACCTCCACTTCTGGGGTTGCCTTGGTCTTGTGTTCCTCTACTGCAGTAGGAAGATGGGGAGAGTGGGGCAGGAGCTAGGGTCAGAAGCGCTTCTGCAACATCTAGGTTTGTTGGGTCTGCAGGTGCCACTGCTATGAGTAGAGGGGCTAAAGTTGCCAGAACCTCTGCAGCTGGGGGAGGATTTGGGCCATGGGCCCCACTGTCACTGTTACCTGGTCCTCTGCAGGCTCTCCATGGGCTCAGGTACTGCTGCTGCATGAGCTGAGTGCATTACTGCTCCCAAGTTATCTGGGGGTGCTGGCAGTACTGTTGCCAGGGGTGTTGTGTTCTTGAGTGTTGCCCCCACTGACAGGGGCGTGGAGGCTTGTATGTAGCCTCTACTGCTGGTAGGGCTGGTGTTGGGGGTGTTGCCACTGGGGGATGGGTCATGGGTACTGCTGTGGTTCCTGAAGCCTCAGGTTGCAGGCACCACCCACCATTGCTGGGGGAGGGAGAGAAGTTGAGCAGCAAGTGCTGTTGTGGCTCCTGCAGCCTCTGGTCTGAGGCACTGGACTAATTCCTGGAATCTCGGGTCATGGGCACTGCCACTACTGCCAGGGTCATTGGGATCTTGTATGCAACCCCTACTGCTGGAAGGCCCAGTGTCAGAGGTGCCACCACTGAGGCAGGTGACTGGGTCACAAGTGCCACTGTGTTTCCTGAAGCCTGAGGTTGCAGGCACCATCCACCACTGCTGGGGGAGAGTTAGGGGCTGAGCCACAAGTGGTGTTGCTCCTACGGCAGCCCCTGGTCTCCAGTGCTGGTGCACTTTTTGAAACCTCAGGTCATGAGCGCCACTGCTGCTGCCAGGTGTATCCATGTCTTGGATGCAGCCTCCATTGCTAGAAGGGCCAGTGTTGGAGGCTCCACTACAAGGGGAGGGCGACAGGGTTGGGTCACAGGTATGTCATGTTTCCCAGAGACTCCGGTCATGGGCTCAACGGGATTCCTGCTGCCTCTGGGGGTATAGGCTGCCTGGATTCCTGGGGCTTTTGCTCTTGGATATTATGTCAGTTGCTGAGGACTCTGTTTGCAAGTGTGGCCTGCAAATTCTGAAACCTCTGGCCATGGGAGCTGCTGCCACTGCTCCCCTGGTTCCACTGCCTCCAGGAGGTCCAGTCTACCCACCTTCAGATGTATAGCTGTACAGATCTCTCAGGCATTCAGATGTGCTGTACAGAGAGTCCTTTGTTGGTCAATGGATGTCCTACTGATTACAAACTTAGAGGGGAGAGATAAAAGGAACAACTCACTCTGCCATGATGCTGACATCACTCCTCAGCATAGCATTATCTTAAATTTTAAATTTGAGAGCTTCTAGATAGGGTGTGCACTTCTCAAATGGCCAATGTCCCCACCATCCTCTATAACTGACAGATTCACAATTCATGAGAAGTGCTGAGCCCCTGAAGGTAACTGAGTTTGTGTTCCCTACAAAGACAAGCAGTATTTCTATCCAGTATGGAAAATTTGATACTCTCTAAGAGAACTAATTCTGATATTTTCAGTAGGAAGAACATTCACAGAAGCCGTGTCCTTAATCTAAAAAAATATAATGCTTAGTATTTTGGCAGGATACTCAAGTCTTATAATTAAGTTTTTTTTATATGTTCTCCACTCTGAAAGCTAGTAAGTGAATACTTTTCACTGTCCTGCTTTTTGTCTTCAGCTGGGCAAGGCCACAAAACTCTCAGTTCAAAATCTTTCCTTGTCCTCATTATTCTACATTACTTTAGGTCAGGAATAGAAAACATATGATATTTTCCACCTCTGAGGTGTTCTACCTCTGCTCACGTCTTTGCCTATGACAGACATCAGTAATTGACCACAGTTATCTTTTCTGCTCAGTCCTCATGAAACCTAAAATTTTTCTCATCTCCAATGAGTTGCTACTAATTGATCAGAATTAGCACATAAACTCAGATATACTTGCTATTCCTAACATAGGTTAATATTCTTAAATCTTAAAAATCTTAAATATACGGGAACTATCTTTTTAAAATTATCTTTATTTGATAGTGGGAATGGTAGTATGTTACTTTCATTTATATCACAGAGAAAAACTGACAACTTTTCCCAAGTACTGAAGTATATCTTATCATTTCTGTGAAAAGCTATTTCCCCCAAAAGACAACAAACAAAAACAGAATCATAAATATACAAGTTAAAACTATATCTAATTATTTTAAGGGAAGTAAATTGCAAAATTTTCATCTCACAAAAAGCTTTCCCACTAAATATAATTTTTAAAAATATTTCAGCACTTAAAGAATCCTCAAGAAAGAGAATAAAAGTACATAAGGAATAAAGAGTTGAACAGGTAGAAGAGGAAATAATGGGCTGGAAAGGAATGAGGAGGAACAATTTCAGTGAAAAATCTGTAAAACAGGAAAATGAAAGACCAAAATCAGTTCTAAAAGTCCAAGTCATAATTTCACACACAAAACCTTTGAAATTCTCTGGGAAAATTAAATCATTTCATAAATAAACTTATCTCAGTAAAAAGGCTTTTGACATCTTAAAATAAGATTGATTACTTCTCAAGGTAGAAGCAACAATTAGAGGCTGCTGACTATCTCATTGGAACTTGAATCAAACTAAGGTACTAACTAAAGCGTAACTGAGGTACTAAGATAACTAGGGAATACAAAAAGTTCGTTATTTTTAAAGTAAAATCACACAGATTAACAAGCCAAAAAAACACAATGAGATGCCCATGATAATGCCCTGTCACCAGCCTTCAGAATTTTCCAGATGACAATAAGGAGAGGAAACGATAGAGAAGGCAGAAGAAAAGTAAAATAAAGCAGAATACCTTAAATGTAATCAAAACTTACTACTATGCAGAAGCGCTGCATTCCTCTACAGTCACTGAATATTTCTTTCCATAACATTTCTAACAGAACTTTTCAGCTTTGCTATCCATTATTATTTCTGACTTTTCACTGCAGCCCTGCAGTATAAGTTAAACAGGAGATAGAATTTCCATGTTAAAGATTAGAAAATTAACATTCAAGAAGTTTAGTGACTTAACCCAGTCATAGAGCCAGAGAGTAGCAAGCTGAGACTCTCCTCTAGTCTTGGGTCTTTAACCTCAAGACTATTTGTATCTTGCTCCTGGCGTGGAGGGAATGGGATTGCCTATATTCCATGCTCTCTAAAAGTCTAAATCTAAGCGAGATTATATTTGTCAATTTTCTTTTTTTTTCTTTCTTTTGATTTTTTTGTTGGCTTCAACAACAAACGTTTCTCACAGTTCTTGTCAATTTCCATTACAGGTGATACAAAAGGCTTCAAAGTAACTCCAGAACCTTTATGTATGTGTCTCCTGTTTCTCAACTCAGTTCTTTCTGCTCTTCTACAAAGTGCCTACTACTGGGGAGCTGAGGGGGGATGAGGAGGCACGCAAAGATGGAGGAAAGGAGAACAACTACTCACTATTTTGCTGTTCTCCTTTTCCTTTACCAGGGTAAGGAGTTTGAGGCTGATTTTAGGATCCCCCTAAGTAACTGATGATTTTCTTATTTAGCAAAGTGGAAACTCTGCTAATAAGAAAATAATTAATTAATTAATTAAAACATGAAAGAAAAATCTTGGAGCTGGATGAAGTTGTTTACCAAAAACTAACAAACTTTTAGAAGGATTTGGCAGTAAAAACATAGTAAAAATTGAGAACAAGAAAAATAATCACAATGTTTTATCTTATCAGTCTCCTAGGAGAAAAAGGAGAAAATACAGACTGACTTTCTCACTATCTTCCAAGTAAACCTAATATGTAATATGCTTGACCTGAAACTCCATGAAATGTACATCCTTCAGTCATGCTCTCTCTAAACTTGCTTGTTTGTGTTTGTATTTTAGCTGGCACTGCAGGACCCATAAGTAAGTTCTTTGTCTGTGCTTTAATTGTCATGTGCTTTGCTTTACTACACTGTTAGAATATATAAGACATTCCCATTCCTGGATGTTTCTATTTCCTCCTTCAGTAACTGTCAGTTCTTTTCTCCTTCTTTATTCCCTATTCTTATCTTAATAAGCTGGGTGCCTCTGTGAGGAAGTACTATCACTTAAATTTTCTCAAAATCTTGAGATTCAACGGCAAAGGGAAAAATGTTAAGAACAAGAGTGTTAGAGAGAAAAGTGGGAAGGTATCTTGCTAAAAATTCCAGTAACATTCAGAGGAAGAGGGAAGTGAGTCCCAGCTCACTGACTGAGGGTCCCCAGTCTATCACTGATGGTTGTGTGGAATATATATGTCCTGCTATGAACAAAGAATAAGTCTGGAAGAAGTGTCCACTTAGCATTTTAAATGACATTACAACAAATATCTCCAGCAGAAGGGAGGGAATAAGGAGTGGGGGATGAATAAGAGGCAGCTGATTTAGAAAAGAAAAAAATGGTAAGTGGAAACAGTGACATATAAAGGCTCTGAGATTTTACCAGTCCTTTATGTGCTTGCTGTTTAAAGTGGGTCCAAGGACCTGCGTCAGCATCACCTTGGAGTTTGGTAGAAATGCGGAATCTCAGCCTAATGCAAATCCCCAGAGCTTATAAATCAGAATCTGCATTTTAGCAAGATTTCCAGGTGGTTGATGTGCACTTTAAAGTTCAGAAGCATTGCCCTGCAGGATTTCAATCCTCTGCACTTGGGGAGAAAAAAGATTGAATGTGCTTGATCTAAGTTTATCCAGCTCCTCCATCCCTGCAGATTCTCTACATGAAGAGTAGCCTTAAAGCCAATGACAAGAAAGATTAAACTCACCGAGGTTTAATTCATTTCTTAACACATTTCTAGCCATCAGTCCTGAGGATGTTCAGAGCTTGAGCTCCTGGGGTAGGGTCAACCCTGAAGAAAACAGGAAGAAGAATGATTTGAGGGTTAGGGCTCATAGAAAATCATACCCTGTATCTACTCCTTCTGGAGCATTTATACACATGAAACTTGACGAAAACAATCAAAAGTCAAACTTCAAGAGTAAATGCTGGGGAGGTGTTGCAAAAGCTCATGTAGCTTAAGAGGTATAGAGGGGTGTGTGATGTGTGTGTGTGTGTTTGTAAAGAAGGAGAAGGCTGTTATTGCCAAGTATGTGGCTCTAGTGCCTCAATTCCTTTATCCACTGACTGTACCTGTGAATGTCTTGAGTCTATCTAGCAGTTTCTGTTCTCTCTTATACTAAGATATTGCAGACCAAGTTACTCAGTTGAATAAGGAAGCCAAGGCCACCCACAGGAGACAGAAATTTGCACTGCCTCCTTCAAAGGTAAGGCTACAGACTAGCTAAACAGGCTCAAATTAGCCCAGGTGGGAGAAGGGCAACGGCCTGTATAATCTACTGAGATACAAATAAGATACTCATCAGGGAAGGAACCCTGACCACTGCATCCCCACAGCTCCAGCTGTCAGATCTCAGCTAGTTACTAGGGTCCCCCAAGGTAAGGAATGAAGTATAAACTTTATTTGCTCCTCCATTGAAGTGGAAATTTTGCTCCTGGTGTCTACATTTCTGATGTTTTCCCAGAAATAATTTCAATGCAAAGTGTATTTTCCTATGCCAAAGAAGCACTCTAATTAGTTCTGTCTTGTTTTTCCCATATTTTAGCTGGAGCTATTGGACCCATAAGTGAGTTCCTTTTCTGTTCCCTAATTCTGAAACTCTTTGGTCTTCCGTGGTATCTGGAACCCTCTCCTCACCCTATCTGTTTCCATTTTTATACCTGTAGGCTTTCCCACTCATGCTTCTTTATTGCATTTGAATCTCCTGACATCTCCTGATGCCCAAGCCATTAGAAAAAAAAATGCCCTGAATTGTTCACTGAGTATAAGACAAGGGGAAGCCAAATAACTCATATTTAAAATAATGACCAGAAAAAAATTCTCTGAATTATGATAAAAATAATCAAAACAATTATTTGTGGGCTTTTCCTGAACTGGGGAAGAGCTATAAGAAGAACAGGAGAAGGCAAAAAGAATAAGCATGATAAAGACAAAGGAAGAGGTGGTGATGAAAAAAGATAAAGGAACGAACATCTCACCTACCCCTAAAGAGTTTCAATGCTCTGAGACAGCTAAGGGGTAGACAGGAAAAGGAGGGAAAGAGAGGAGGGGTGGCAGCAAAGGAGAAGACCCCACAAGCTTCAGCCCAAGTTCTATATGTTCCCCTGTGCTGTGGATTTCTCATTTAAGATGAATGCTGAATGACTTGATCTGGTGGGAGGGTGAGGGGCTTCCATGCTAAAATTACCTACAGACCTGCAGTAGTAGTTCTACCTCTGGTTGAGTTGCTTCACGGTTTCTTTAGACATAATATTGGTGGTATGAGAATTCTGTTAATATCAAACCACACTGATTTCCCTCCTCTTTGTATTTCAGTGCAATTCACAGCACCTATTCGTAAGTATTAAGTTTGTTTCTCTACTCTGGTTCCCTTGATATCTGACCTACAAGGTCTTGAGGCCTGAGCTCCCCTGTTTTCTTGAGGCCACACATCTTGACACCCCTAGCATTCCTATTACACAGTTTCCAAAGAAGTTCTGCATGAGGTATAGAGACTGCAAATTCCGTGGGCTAAGATAAGAAAATAGAAAAGAAAGGGCCCTTTTAGTAGCAGTCATAATGCCCTGTCAGCGAGGGAAGGTTCACTTTTCTAATAAACAATAAATCCCAAGGGAATCAGAAAAACAAAAGAAAAATGTAAGAAAAAAAATAGAGACATTACAAATTAGTATGGATTGAGTCTTTCCCAATTCTCTAAAGGTTTTCAATCATCACTGAAAATAAGGGGAGGCCTCCATTCCTGTAAGTCCCCTATATTGTGCAACAAGGAGCCTACCATAGGACTGCTATACAGGGAACGCTTGATCTTCTTAGGGTTCCCATTTATGATACTCCCCTAGAGTGAATGTTGAGCAATGATGAGTATTCTCGTCACAGTGGTGAAGTATACTGATCTCTCTCTCTCTCTCAATCTGTTTCTCAGCTGGAGCTACTGGACCTATCAGTAAGTTTGCTGATTTTCTACTGTGGAGCATTTCAATTTCCCTGGATTCTATGTTGGGATTTCAGGAGTTTAGGGTCCACATTTTCTTGGCCTTTTGGTTTTCTTCTACCGAGCATTTCAGTAAGTCATTAATGATCCTGTGAATGTACATTCTACTGATAAACACAAACTACACAGTGGAAGACAAACTCTTGTAGGTTACCAATGGCTTATCAACATCACACAAAGGGCTTCTGAAAACAGTAAGTGGAAAGAAGTGAAATAATGAGAGAAAGAAAGAAAAGAAAGTTTAAGTGGGAAGGATTTTTCAAATCCTCTACAGGGGTTTAAATGGATCAAAGGAGTGACCTCTACTTAGTACTTTTGCTACTTACCCTCTTGGTGGATCCATTAGATGAGCAGGCCCTTATATGTAGTAGATTGTTTTAACATCCCAGCAAGAAAGTCAATTGTAGCTGACTCCAAGTTTAGTGGTACAGATTCTTACTGGGAAAAGCATATAAATGAGAACTATGGTCTCCAGAGTCTGAAAGCACCTACTGATTTCTTTTACTTCTTTTCTCATTTCTTTCTTTCTTTCTTTTTTAGAGCTTTCTCAGAAAACCATTGGTAAGTCAGCTGAGTCTCAATTATAATGCCTTATGGTCCTTTACAATGCTTACAACATCAATCTAGTTTTATTTCAATGATTTGTGCCCATGGATCAAGTGTTTCCACTGCCTCATTATCCCATCCAGAATTCCCAGAAGTTGGGTTCACCAAGGTTTTGCAATAAAAAAATATTAACTATGAAGCTGAAATATAAAGTGAAAAAAATGCCCCCCCTCCTCCACCCAAGGATGGTCCTTTCTGAGCTGTTCCCACTTATATATATAATCTAGCTCTTTAGAACCAATATATAATAAAGATTTAAAGCACAGAACCTAAACTTCTTGGTTTCTGTGCAAATAATCTTTCATTATTAGATTATCTTCATTGGGTAAAATAATCCAAATTTTAAGTTTATTTTCATTTCTAATTGCTCTGGAAAATTCTCTCTAGGACAGTTATGTTCCATTTTAGCCAACTTTTAGCAACTTGCCCTATTGCGTTTTTCCACGGAAATAACATAAATAACGGCTAGGTTCCAAGATACAACTGTCCGTAATTACATCTTCATAAACTAAGAGCAAGTAGTTACAGCTCACACATTGGGTTATAGTATTCCTAACAAAAATTAAGAATTTTTTAAATTATAAACTATAGAAATATGAGTTGATGTTCCCCTATATTCATCTGACAGAATGAATTTATACCTAGTCACATTCTTTGAGTGATTCCTATAATGTCTTACAGTTTTTCTAATTTTCACATGCATTATTTTGTTGGATCTACACAAAATTCCAATGGTAGTGGGTAAAGCAGGTACTATACTCATCTTTAGAGATGAAGAAACTGAGGCTCAGGAGTCATTTCTCAGAAAAATAAGGAGGGTTTTATTAGTTAATAATGAAGTTAGGACTGAAGTTTTGCTGACTCTTAGTTGAGTTCTTTCTGCTAACATTTTGGTTCTTATAATGGGTTATTAGCAACGAATAAAATGAGATTCTAATGCTATAAGTCAGAGGGAAAAAAGGCCTTTGGGGAGAGGAAGTAAGAGAAAATGCAATACAAAGAGTAAAAGAGAGAGAAGGAAGATATAAGTTAAGGAGAGAAAAACAGAGGAAAATAAAAAGAGAACAAAAGTAGGAAGAAAATTGGAAGGAGAAAGAGTAAGTGAAATGGCAGATTAGAGAAGAAAGAAGAATAAATGAATGTAACTAAAGCTGATAAAGAGAAGAAAAGGAAGGGTTCAAGGAGTCACAAATTAAGAGTGGGAAAAGGGGAAGAAATATAGGAAAACTGAAAAAACTAAATAAAATTTGAAATGGTCATCTGTCCAAGGATTTAGTGGCTTATACCAAGAGAGCAGGTGTCCTAGGAGTTCTACTTCAGGATCAAGGGCACTTTTTCATAGATACAGTCAAAGCAAATATTAAATTACTTTTGTAAGACACCTAAATTTCTAGCTTGTCTATGGCTCATAGCCCAGGATATACAGAACTGGTAAGGCACCTTCTAGCTTTTTTACACAGAAAAAAAAATTCAAAGTTAAAGGTTTAGGGCTTATGGGTCAGAACTGGGATATTTCCCATCATGAGTGCCATGCAGTCAGGGGCTGTGGAGGAGAAAGATACCACAATGCTGACTGAGAGGAGGGGTGGTCTTTTCAGATTCAATTAACCATGCAGACTCACATGATTATCATAGCCCTCACCTGGCATCAGTCTACTTAGTAGGGCTTAAAGCAGGAAACACAGCTTGCCAGCAGGGCAGTATTAGCCAGCCCTCTTCTGTGGGAGTAGTCCTGGCAGTGGTCTCTGCAGGTGTCCACAGAGCCACCCAGGAACTATTCTCTTCAGCCTCCCATTGGCTGAGGATGGGAGCTGCCCCGGCTTAGGAGCCCCAAGAACCAAAATTTGCTGTAAGAACTCCCTGTATATAACCTGCAGGGATCTCAGAAGGAACATGCCGAAACTATAAACATGGTCACTACACTCAGGGAAGCCAAGCCCATGGCTTTCTAACAGGTATTTATAGTTCTCCCGGTTCAGATGCAGTTTACCAACCAAGGATCATTCTTATGTAAAAGCAGTGTTGCCAAGTAACATAGCAGGTCTACAATCTTTATCAGGTCACCAGAGGATCAGAGCTAAAAAAAACAAGTGAAGGCTAAGTTCTTGTTAAAACCTGAAGGTTTTGTTGACCTCTGCCCATGGGCACTAAAGCTAATCAAAGCAGCAGTTGCAGCTCTGTCTTCCCCAATAAGCTGGAAGCTGTGAGAAGACTGGATCTTTATCTCCTACCCTAATGCCTACCTCTGGAACATAATAGTTGGTCAGAAATAAAGATTTTAGTACAAGGGTGGTCCCGTGAAAAAGCGGTATCTTCCATTGTTACTGAGAAGAAAGGTAAGTATAAAATTTAAACTTCCCCTAATGTCTCCTAGGTTGACAAGGATCCTAGAGAAACCCTCACCTGAGGCTGAAATATTGCAATATAAGCTAAATATCTCTTTTCCTCTGTAGTTAACATAGCTGGATTAGTTCTCCCTAATGATCTCACTACTGATATCACTTCCTCTCCTCTACTCTACCTCGCAAAGCCCCACCCCTAAAATAAAATTAAAGAAAAATTTGTTCTTCATCTGAACACCCATACTAATATGCCAATTTGGATTTATTTTTAGTGCAAACTCCAGGACCTATTGGTAAGTTGCCTGTATATATATATATATATATCTCAACTCTTATATACTCAAATTCATAATAAATAGTATAACATTTTTCTTATAGTGACTATAGTGGTTTGTCAATAATCATTAGAAGAACATCCCAAAGTAAAGATGCAACAGAGAGAATCTGGGGAAGGATATAAGAAACGAGGAAGAAGACAAAACAAAGATAGCTGAGAGAGTGAAACAAAAGTGAGATGAGGGAAGAAAAGACAGAGGAAGATGGAGAGAAAGGAACACATTTAAAATTTCACCTCAAGCACCTATAGTGAGAGGCAAGAATAAAGTGGTTATCCTTCCAACTAAAACAGGGTTACAAGTCTCCTAGAGGAAGATCTGATTCTTATGGAGAATTTATACTGTCCAGCAGCAGTGCAATAAAAAGTATTTAATCCTGAAAACTGGAATTTAGTAATTCCTGGGAAACCATTTTCACTGGTCTCCTTTGGAAATCATCAATGGTACATGTGTTTTTCATGTTCAACAACCACAATAATTTATGTTTGTTTTTATTTTTAGTACAATATACTGGACCCAGTGGTAAGTCCCTTATCTGGTTCTTTCCCCTGGTATTCTTTGATCTTCTACAGTGTCTAGAGAGCCTATTCCCTGTCCTAAATGTATCTATTGCCATAAGAACAATGGTTTTAGACATCTTTTCATGCTTCCCAGTTTCCACTTGCTGAGAATTCTCCAGGATTATTTTTTTTAAAGAAAAAGAATAAGAAAATTCCCCCAGATATGGTCCTGATGGCTTCTATAACAATATTGGACTTTCTAAAGTAACAAAGAAAGAATAAAAGCAGTTTTCCAGTTCTGAAGTGCTTTGTAGTTTATAAAGGGTCTGCTCAAAGATAATGGAACTAACATATAGAAAATGAAAAAAGGAAGGCAAATTTAAAAACTAAATGTAAAAGAGAGAAAATAAATCAAATTTAAATAGACTGAGGTCTCAACAATCTTCTTCCCAGTTTCCTGGGGGAAGTCTACCAAGGCATACTACTCAGGATCCAGTCTACCCGGAGTTCCTCAGTCTTCTCTCTCAACTCTCAAGGCCATTCTCTTTCCTCATGTCCTCTCCTGCCCCCTTGCCCCAAACACCCCTCAACACAAACACACACACACATACACACACACACGCACACACACACAGAGCTTCAGGGAACAGGATATGACAGTAGTTGGGCTGCAATTACAGGAATTGGCAGAAGCATCAGGCAACTACAAACCGTAAGGGGGAGAGAGCGAAGGGAGAGCTCATACTGTGACTAGGTAGGGCAAAGCTAGTGTCAAAACCAACTGTAGGTCACAGGAAATTCTGAATCTGGAAATTAAGTGATAGCGTTCCAAAGTTTAAGCCAAACAGGAGGAAATTATCAGAAGGCAAGTCAGGTGTACTCAAACATTCCTTCAACTAGCTGAATTCCTACTATGTATCAGAAACTGAGCTGAGCACTGGGGATAAATTCATGAATAAGAAAGAGAAGATGTATTTGGTCTCTGGTGCTGTGGAGTTTACAGTCCTACAAAATGTCTTGGGAAAAGGATCTCAAAATGTGAAGAGGGCAGGCAATCTCCCACACAATCATACTATGACCACTAAAACTGGATGTTGCCTGCCCTAAATGCTGGTTCTAAATACCCTTCTTATTGTGGATGAATATGAGCCATTATTTTATCGACTACTCCTCTAAATCAGGGTGGCCTTTCTCAGCAATCTTGATTATCACCAAGACTTACAGCCTTGGAAGTTCTCCTAATTCTTATAAGGGAAAATATGTAAGCCAGCTTACCTCAGAGGATCTCACTGTGGCTAAAGGAAGGGTCTCATCTGGCCCAAAATGCCCTAATAGCCACCATATGCCAGACAATCTATATGGGTACTTGGATTCCCTTTCCCTTCTTTTCTTCCCTGCTTACCTCCCTCTTTCCTATGTGTAAAGGTTTTAAAAATATAATAATGGATAAATGAAAATTATATTGCTACATTTATTCCTTCCTAGCTTTCCCCAAAATTACCAGTGATTTGGAAAGTGTGCAAAATGCACTGATTAATTTTTTTAAATTAACAATAACAAGGCTCCAAATGAGACTAGTAAAGAAGAGTGGGAAGAAAACTTTTGAAATCAATTGAAAGGTCAGGTAGGAAAGATTAGTGAAAATGAGAAAGACTAAAGTACACAGAAGTCCAAGTTTAAGATATTATGAACCTATAGAAGTGTTTCAAGCATTTACCATCCCTGAAAGGAATGGAAAGGTTGGATGAAGCCTCACCTTATGGCCCCTCTCCTGCCCCAGACCAGCAGAAACAAGCCTGAGGATGCGAAGCACAAGGGTAGGTGCTTAAGCCCAGACACTGCACTGAGCTAACAGGCAGGTTTTAGAGCTCCCTGCATCTTCTCTGAAGTTACCCTTTTTAAGCCCACCATGAGAGAACTGAGTTCTCTTGGTTCTACACACGCTGATTTCTCCTTTTTTTCCCTCCACTTTTCCACCAGCTGAAACTTCAGAAATGACCAGTAAGTTCCATGCCTGTTACGTTATTAGTTGCCTTCGGCTTCCTACATGATCTCAAATCCTTTGTTTCTGTCTTGTAGGTATAGAAATTCATGTTTCTCTGTCTGCTTCTTATTCTACTATCTAGCTGCCCCCAAGGAGTAAATGAATTGAGGGGAATACAAACCCCACTTAATAACCCAAAATGTAAAAATCAGAGGAAACTATCTGAAGTTTATTGTGACTTGCCAACAAGGGAGGGAGGATATTTGTATTAATGAATGAAAGCTTGCACATGATGGCAGAAATAGGGAGAAGAAAGGTGAAGGCAACACAGTTTACACTACCAGCCCCCTGTAGGATTTTAAGCAGCTACCAGTCACTGCCAAAAGGGAAGAGAGAAATCATCTCCCTTTCCTGCAGCCTCCCAGACTAAGCAGGAGGCAGAATCCCCCAAGGCATGATGGCGGTTGTATTCCCCAGCACAGTGCACTACAATATCTACAATGGTTTCATGCTCCCTCCATTGCCATTTCTGATAATCTCTCACGGAAGAGTAGCAGGAAAACTAGGCCCTCTTTCACCAGACTTCCGCACTGATTTCTCTCTTTGTTTTTCAGCTACAGGATACTCCTCTTGTAAGTTTGACTGTCTCCCTTCATGATGAAACTCAATCGTCTCCAGCAGTGTCTAACAGATCTTCTTGAATCAAAATTTATCCATCCACATTGAGATTGCAATAGCTAAAGCTCCTATTTCCTTGAACTGTTATTTTTCCATTACTCAAAATTCCACTGGGTTATTAATAAGTTTCTAGAATGTTCACCGAGTCATTTAAAAATTAAAGAGCACAGAAAAACTTTCTCCATGGTTTTAAAGATTGCCAATTAGGGTCTTTCCATACAGAAGGGAACAAAATGAGTGGGAGAAAAATATATAGATAATATTTTTGTTTTCCACTTGGGTCATCTATACAAGCAGTTAGCAAGTGTTTGTTTCTCTGCTGTGCATTTTCAAAGTCCAGCGATGTCTATTGGAACTAGAGTTCCAGTACAGGAACTTGAATTTTCTTAGCCTTTTGCTTCTCCGTTATCCAGAATTCCACCAGTTGATTATAAATTTTCTGGAAAATTCAAATGCCTCTAACCAGAAAAACTTTTCAAGCAGTTATATCACTAGGAAATTTGCCAAAAGGAAAAAATGAATAGGAGAGTAAACAGGAAGGGAGAAATAAGAAATCTCTCTGCTTGTTTTTCAATGGGATCAACTCTTCACACAATCACTAAGTCTGTGTGTTTATTTGATTCACTGCCACGGGGCTCGACTGATTTCTAGTGGGGTCCAAGAGTCTTTATCTGGCCATACTGGGATGCAAAGGGCTTGAGGTACATCTTGGTCTCTGCTATTTCATTATCAAAACCCATCTGGGTTATTAATGATGTACTGGAAAGTTGTAACACTACTGATTTAACTAAAGATGAAGAAGGGAGAAAAAAAGTTTTGCTTAGTTATAAAGACCACCAATAACAGACTGTCTACAGAAAAGAAAAAAATGATGGGAGAGAAAAAAGGGGATAAGAAATTTCTAAAACAGTTTTTCATTTGTACCTCCTGCCCTACCAGGTCTGTTTTTTCACCTTTGAATTCCAAGATACCTGAGGAAAATTTCCCTGACCTATAGAGATCTTAGGGACTTTAAGTTCCTATTTCCTTGACATCTTGCTTTCACTTTAACAATAATTCTCCAAGGTTTTCAATAATTTTATGGAAAAAATCAAACTCCGCTGACTTACATAAAAAATAAAATACAGAGGGGAAAGTTTTCCAGCAATTAAAAATGATATGTTACAAGGAACTTCACAAATTGAAAAAAAATGAACCTGGAAGAGAGGAAAAAGAGAGAGCAATTTTCTCTGTTCTGCTTTCCAGCTGGATCAATTCCACATGCTTTCAGTAAAGCTTCCCACGTTTCCTTCACTGTGGGGTCCTGTAACCTCTCCTTTCCCTGGCAGTGCTGGGATTTCTGGGCACAGGCTACATACTTCCTTAAGCATTTACCTTCCCATGGTCAAAATTCTATTGTTATTAATGATTTCTTGGAAATCACTAATTGTTCAAATTGTCGTGATTTATATTAAAAGTAAACAAAGACCAAAGGAACATTTCCCTTATCGTTATAATGACCTACCAAGAGGGAACTCTCTAAATAAAAAAGAAAAAAAATAGTGAGAGAGAAAAGGGTTGTAAAGATACTTCTCTGTTTGTCTTTCAGCTGGTCCACCTTCAACGCCTAGAGGTAAGTTCAGTCTTTCTCTACTGTTTCCTGTTGTTGTTATTGTTGTTCTCTACAAGACCTATGGACCTGTCACTGCTCTGCTCTTTTCTAACTCTTATGCAGCAATTTGAGACTCACAGCTCTCAGTTTCCTTTGCCTTCAGCTCATGCAGCTTCTCTCCCTATGAAATAAACTTACATTTACTTGATTTTAAACATATATTTACTTTGCACCTCCTCTGTGATAAGAACTATATAACTGCTTTAATTACATTATCCCATTTAATCCTCAAAGTAATTCCATTGATCTCTTTGTAAGGGCTAGGAAACTGAGACCACATACTTGCCCAAGAATGCATAATCATATAACCATAATTTGAATAAAGAGCTATGTGGCTCTATGAAGCTACCAGGCTTCTCTCCTACACGAATATGCCTTCTTAGAAAGAATCTTGTTCCTTTCAAACAAATATCCACTGATATCTAATCTGGTGTTTTTTTAGGTCTGCCTCTGGCACCCATGAGTAAGTATGACATCTGTTTCTCTACTTTGGTTCTCTTTGGTCTTCAAAGTCTGAAGGACTTTGTTCTGTTAAAGTGATCTGAATTTCTCATTGCTCTCTTGCTTCCTTATTACTCAGCTTTCCCTACATTACAAATAGTTTAAGAAAATACTGATTAAAAGAAGGACTAAGCTAGCATTTGTCCACAAAAACTGAAGAATATTATGAAATAACAGAGGTAGGCAAAATTTTTGAGAGACAGACAAGAAGTCTAAAATGATGTTTAAATGGAGAGAGAGCTTGAGGGCTCCCTCAAAGATTACAGTGCTATCCAAAGGAAACAGAAGGATCCAGTGGTCTTTAGCTGGGACTATACCCAAAGTTGTTCAGGTCCAATAAATGAAGAGGGTCTTTAAGGAAACCGTGCCTTTGACTTCATCATCACATCTTCACTGCTTAATCTTACATCTAAGTTTACATTGCAACTACTCTATAGAGTTGTTTGGGATGCTTTCTTCTTATGCCCACCTAAGTCTTCCCATCACAGACACCAGCAGAATATATTAGATAATACTGTTTTTTCTATTTAAGAAAAATCACATGGATTTCTTTTTGCTTATTTTTTAGTGATTTCACAGAGAACCTCAAGTAAGTTCTTTACTTCTCAGCCTGTATATGTGAGACTTTTTCTGAGCTAAGGTATTTCTAAGGGCACAAAAGCTTGAGACTCGTGTTTCTATATTTGTTTATTTCCACATTACCCAAAAGCTTCTAGGTTAGGACTGCAAGACAAACTTTTTGATTTATAACTGTAGGATTTCCCATTATTTCAGTTCTTAACTCATTTTCCCAGGTAACAGACACCAACAGCAACTCAATATTTAAGCCAGATGAAGCACCAACAATGGTGATATTTAATATAGAATTCATGAAGCCACCTTTCACACTACGTCCCAGTTTTCCCTAATTCAAATCTGGTTCTCATACCTATGTTACAAATGACTTTTATGCAACCCCAATATCCCTTGGGTTCCTCAGATTGAAATTAAATCACATTACTATTAAAACCCAAAATTCCTATCAAGGTAAAAAAATTCAGATGCCTACAGAGCCCAGACAGCTTACATAAATAAGGTTGGGTATACCCCTAGGAACTGTGGAGAATGGGAGGTCATGTACAGTCTAAAGAGGGTGGCTGCTGCTCAGTTCCAGCCAATTTCTCAGGCAAGAATGCAGATCTAGAGTTGCCAAAGCATCTCACTTAATCCAGATTTTAGGTAAAATTTCTCAATTTTTAAACATGACAGACATCTGGATCACTCAGACAGATTGAAAACATGCTTATCTGCCCGCAAAAGTTCCATCTAAACACATTCTGAATATACTTTTTATAATAATAACCTTTTAATAATTTCAATACTATTAGGACACAAGGATTGGTATTTGAGGAGGGAGAATTGAAACCGTTAACACAGAATGAGCTAGTGTCCCTCTGAAGTTCCCATCTACACATCCTTTCTGAATCCTGAGCAAGGAGGCTCATTAGCTAAATATTCTCACTGCACAGATGAAAACACTGAGTCTACAGAGTCAATGATGTAGACCCCAAGGATGAGGCTGGATACGTCAGTTATCCATGTTTGCGCACAGGCCTTATAACTGGAAACGGGGACCAAGGGCCACTTGAGGTCAGCGGAAAGGATTATTGGTTTTGCAGCTAGAAATTATAATCCAGAATCTAAATTGAATGAATAGTGCCCTTTTCAGTAGAGGCATCAGAGAGGATGGGCAGGAAAAAGATGTGAAAATCCAAGACCCAAGGGATTGGGAGGAGGACAAAATGTATGCCAAAGGAACTAGGGAATATGCCACCTTCTTTTTGTCTGGCTTGATCTTGGTTGCTAATTTAACTTTTAATTAAAAATACATATCCAAGCTTAAGCATAAAAACTGTGGAGGGGGATGATTTCCAAGGGGCAGCAACTGAATAGAAATGCATTGTGAGAAGAAGCTAAAGTTAAGTTCTTGGCAGGAAAGGTAAGGGAAGAGGAGAAAAAGAGGTAGCAGCTTCACCTCAGAAATAGAGCTCGAGTTTCAACACCTACTACGAGATGGCAGCCAAAGCCTCAGGACACAGCATGGTGAGAAGTGGAATTGGGCCTCCCCGAGTTAAGCTGGGAGCAGAAAATACACTGCCTGTCCAAGGAGAAGAGCCAAAACATCCTCACCCATTTGCCCCAGCCATGAAAACAAAGTCACCTGCATGGATCCAGACCTAAATCTGCCCAGGGCACAAAGCCCTGCTGGAAGTATGTTATCCATGCAGTGTGGGAATCCAAAGCCAAAAACGTTGAGATCCACTTCAGTGATGGATCTCAGGTAGCTAGGGCAATAGCAACCACGAAACTCCCCACAGTAAGGGATCCACAAAACAGTATTCACAAGATAAAATATCCACAATGGTAACTCCCAAGGAATAAGAGACTACCAAAAAATATGAAATGTATGAGGAAATTCAGCACTTCACAAGCCCCAACAAATTGTAGAATTCCAACTGAGAGAAATATAGCTATAGCAATGTGAAGAGCACTAAAACAAGAAAGTTAAAATCTTCAAAGATAGTAATGCGCTTAGCAAACGTATATTTGGTGCCCGTTCCAGGCCAGGCATTAACCTAGGCATTGAGAATATGGCAGTGAAAAAAGACAAAGTTCCTGCACTCAAAGAGTTTACATTTTGAGATAAAACCAAGCAAATAATAGCAAATAAACATATAATAAAAAATAAGACAACTGTTAATATAATAGAAATACAACACACACCTTCTGAACCCATTGGGAAAAATAAAAAGGACAAAGAAAACTTTATTAATCCAAAAGAACACAAGAAAAGAGAAAAAAATGAAAGCAAATAAAAAAGAAATTTTAAAAATTTAGGTGGCAGAAAAAAGTTTAAATATGCCCCTTAACACAGTACTTGAAAATAGTTGAGAATAATTCTTAAATGTTATCAGCATACACACACACAAAAATGGTAATTATGTGAGGAGTTGGAGATGTTGACTAACTTATTGCAGTAATCATTTCATGATACATACATGTATCAGATCATCAAGTTGCATACTTTAAACTTACATATGTTATATGTCATTAATATCTCAATGGAGGTGGGAAAAAAATCAGCGGGACAAAATCAATTTCCCAGAGACAGATCCTTCTTATATGACAAAGTTGATCTCATAACAGATGGGAAATTCAATAAATGGTCTTGGGTCAATTGAGTATCCTTATGTAAAAAAAAAAAAATGTTCTACCTCACTCATTTCCTTAAAAAAAGTCCAGTCCAATTAATGACCTAAACATGAACTCTAATGAACTCTATCACTATTAGAAGAAAATATGCAGAATAAACTTGTGTTCTTAGATAAAGAGTGAGGTTTTTAAATATATATATATATATATATATATATATATATATATCCAGAAAACACCAAACATAAATGTTGACCAAGAAAAATTCAAAACTTCATATCGACCAAACATAATATGCACAAAGTTAAAAGACAAGAGGAAGTCAGACTGAGAGAAAATGTTTGTGGTATGCATAGCTATCAATGTTAGCAGCATTAAGAATATATATATAAAATCCCCAATCAGTAAGAAAAAGAAAAGAAATTAAATGATTTAATGATAAGAATAAACAGTTTACAAAATAGGGAAACTGAATGTCTAATAAACATAAGAAAATTTGCTAAATCTCTGTAATGATCAAAAAATGCAATGTAAAAATGAGATACTACTTTTCTCAAAATATATTGGCCAAAATTTTAAAGCCTGACAAGATTCAGGTTTTTATTGGCATGTGTGATAAAGTGAGAACTCCTTCTGTTCATTGTCTGAAAAGCAATTTGTCAGTATCTAAACTAGATATGTGCATACCCTACGAATTCTACTTCCGAGTATAAACACCAAAGAAAAGTCTTACATATGTACATAAGAAGACATGTACAAAAATGTTTGTTGTGACATTTTCAATAATAAAAAATCAGGAATAAATTAATAAAATGTATACCCATAGGACAGAATACTACACAGCAGTTTAAAATGAATTACCTATGTGTGTCTGTGTGTATAAACAAAGAAAGATCCCAACTATAGTGTTGAATGAAACAAGCCAGATGCAAAATGACATTTGCAGATATAGAATGACAGTAAAAGATAATATATGCAAATTAAAGCCAAAAACTATGTAAGCCCACCGTATTGCTTAAGGATCCACAAATATAAGAAAGTACTTTAAAAGTTATTGGGTACACTCAACTCATCATAGTGGTTGCCTCCAAAGAGAAGAGGGAAGGAAATGAACCTGGGACCAGTGATTCAAAGAGATTCTGGCCATCTCTGTAATATTTTTTTCTTAGAAGAAAAATTGGGAACAAATACGATAAATATTACATTATAGGTAGTATGACTATTGATTCTTGAGATATTATTATTCAAGTGTTTTTTAAAATATTGCAAAATGAAAAGATATGAAATAAAATAAATATACTGTGAAGCCCTAAGGAGGCACACTGTCATGGGAAATTTGGCTGTGGACCACCAGTGTGTCCACCTGCAAAAGATCCAGCCCTTCTTGCAATGCATCCTGTCCCTTTAAGCTCTGGGAACTCTAAGGGAGTGACTACACAGCCTCACCCACTACTCTATCAGAACTTCTCTGGTTTATTTTATCCACTGTCCATGAGGCTATTTGAAGGAGCCCCACTTACTTTCATAGCTAATGCCCTTCTTCGTCAAGAGTGCTGCCTTCTAATGCTAAAAAAGCCACTGATTCTCAAAGTGCTTTACAGTACTGGGTTCCATGAGGAATGAGGAGTTCCTTCTCCACAGTGATACTTGTTACCTGAGCCCCAAAATAACACAGCTTGAGTTCAGTTTCATATTTCAATAAAATTTCTGCTTAGTCATCTGTGAATAAGAACACATATACACAGAACCAGAGACATGTTTACACACTCAAAGAACGTTTTCAACATTAGTGCAACCCAAATTTCTACTTAGAAAACAGTAGTTTTCTTCTATGTAGGTTTTCTCATACTTAATGGAATGGTTTGGTTACTCAGTCATCGTGTATCAAATATCTCCTTTTCAAATCTTTGCTTTTCTCTGCTTTGCTTTTTCATACCTGGCCCCTTTCCAGTGATTTCCTAGAACAAAAGAACAAGCTAGCCCAAAAGTGTACTAATTATTTCACTACTTGCAAATAGAAAACTCCTTATAAATTTGAAATTATTATTCGTAGCCTCACCAAGTTTTCAAAATCTTACAGCTAAAATCCTGCCAGGGCTTAGGCACAAAATGCCATATGATCATCCCTCCTCCAGCATTCTCTTTTGTTCACCCTCATGCATTGTGTGGCAGGGAACACTGCCGGTCTTCACATGCCAGATACCTATTTCACTTGCAAGGACAAAATCTTCCTGACTAATGGGTGCGTGAGGAGAACAGAGGGAAAGGAGTATTCTGATGTTGGCCGCAGTAGGGAGAATTTCTTCACTGATTCAGAAAACATTTGTTAAGTGCCTGCTCTTGTAGAGAGCATGCGAAGCATGGGGATTGATGAAGAGAACTTGCTCTCAGAGAAGCGAGTGACAACCCAGGTAAATCAAGTGAGGAGCAATGGTGAGGACTGCAGAGGTCAAGAATGTGGGTGGAGATTGGGAGAAAAAAGTGACAAAGGAGGACCAGAAAAGTAGCTCAACTGAAATAGGTGGGACGTTACACATTTCCTGATTTCATACAATCAGATAGACGGGAAAGGGAAGTGTGAGCTCCATCACTAGCTGTGGACCCTTCCTTCCATAACATTCCCAGGACAAAGTGGTCTCTGCTTAATCTTCTTTTCACTACTATTCAGTGTGTGAGGCTCATACTGGAAATGACATCAATGCAAACATGTGTCTGTTTCATCAGACAAGCACACTAATTTGTTTGTCTTTTTTATTAAAGCAAGACCTGAGAAATCTAAGAGTAAGTCCCATGTTTTCATCAATTCTATTGTTATCATTAGTTTCTTATAGTATCTAGAGGCCCTTTTGTGCCCTGTTTTTAGTGTAAATGTACTAAGACTTAAGATTCATATTTCTGACTCTATGGTTTATTAATTTTTTAGCATTCCTCTCCTTCTAGCTTCTTGTCTCCCTATTCCTATTTTCAGTAGCTTGCTCCAATTTTAACTATTAATGTCCATTTGGAGGCTATAATTGAAATTAATTAGTACTTAACGTGGTACTATACTAATAAATAATATTTATTAAGTACTTACAATGTGCCAGGCACTGTACTCAGGGCTTTATATATGCATATACATTATATCAGATAAGTATTGTTATTCCTATTTTAAAGAGAAGGAAACAGTGACACTATTGCCCATGATCCCACAATTAACAGCAGCAGAGGCTGGGATTCAAAATCCAGGTCTGTTTACCAGACTCTAAAGTCAAGCAATGCTTCCACCCGAGTCAAATGGTGTGAAATGTGGTCGCCTAGCCCTAAGATATTTATGTTAATGAGGGAAAAGAGAAACCTTTCTAAAATTAACCTAAAGAACAGTAATTAGCAAACAGGAATCATAGTAATGATCAGGATAAATCAGTACAATCATTCCAAAGTAGTGATGGGAAAGAGAAGAAGAAGACAATAAAGCACAAGTGGCATCAAAATCTTACCCGTTTGAATTAGCAGAGAGAAATCAGAAGGAAGAAATAGCCTCTCCCAATGATCCCACTCTTATCCTTTCTTTCCAAGAAGGCACCCAAATTAAGAGGGACTTGAGCAGAATAATCTGAAGATATTTATTCTCCCACTAAATTTAACTGATTCTAACTAGAGTTTGGTAATGTCTCAAAGTCCTGTTTCTAAAGCTTCCAGCATAGAGTTTAAGAAGTAATTTTGTTCTTCATCCATAAACTTCTCACTCATTTATTTATTTGATTTCTTTTTCACAGTAAGACAAGAAGAGCCAAGTAAGTCCTATATTTATTCATCAATTCTGGGGTTGGTTCCTGTACTGATTATATCCTTTTCTGAACATGTAAAATCTTGACATTCAAGTTGCAATCTCTTTTGTTTTCATATTGAATAACTTCCTCTAAAGTTACTAATGAATATTTTAGAAAGTAAAAAACCCAAAGATGGCAAATCAAATAATGAGCTGGCTACAGGTGACCTGGAATTAGAAATAATGCTTCTGAACATTTTTTGTAAGTTGTCATTTATGGGGAAAAAAAATGCTAGCTGTTAATATTTTTAGTATTAGAGTTTATAAATGCTTTGGTAGAAAAAAAAATTAGGAGATGACAAAAAAATGAACTGGCAAAGTTAAATTAATTGATATCTTACTCCTTCAAAAAATACATATTTATTGAGGGCCTACCATGTGCCAGGCACAGGGAATACAGCAGCAACCAAAATAGAAGATACTGCCCTCCCAGAGTTTACATATGAACTTAAACATTCCTGGAATGTTTCTCATCCAGAGAAGTTGAGAAGAGGAAGAAAAGGTAGTTTTCTCCCACTTCTAGAAATGGAGCTCTTGCATCTGAAAAATATGTTTTAGTAGTACTTAAGAGTATATTTCTGTCTTCACTCACTGAAAACAGAATCAACGAAAGCCAAATTCTCTGTATCCACTTTAAGGAATCTTGAAATTCTAAGAAATTCCCTTTCTGTTTGATATTTCTATTTGCTCGCTGTGGACTTTTGCCTAAACATGGCTGTTTTCCTTCCAACAGAAAGACTGACATTTATTTTTTTCACACCCTTCCATCAGAATCCTGCTAGAATATTTATGATTTTATACAAAAGCATAGACCACAAAGATTGGTGGAAAAAATAAACATGATTGATTTTTTCCTAGTAAGTTAAAATGTCCTACTAAAAACAAACAACACTTTACATACTTAAAAAGACTCATGTTAATGACAGAATGGAGATCATATACTATTACCTGAGGAGGGAGTCAGGATAAGCGAAGTCTATCCTCATTTCTGACTGTGCTGGAACTGCTCCTGTTCACTGATCTTTGCATACACATTGACCAACTTCTTCTCTCTTGGATTACTGAATAATATTTGGAAAACAAAATTGATAGAAATAATTGAGTGAGATTAAAATCTCTTGGGATTGGCTCTAATGACTTTTCAACAAAAGAATATATTTTCAGCTAAATATAAGGTAGACATGACAGAGAAAAGTGGGAAAACTCATGAAAGAGTAAGCAATGAGAAAAGGGAGTAGAATGAAAATGGAAGCAAAATTTAAAGGAAATGAGGCTTTTCCAGTTCTATGGTATTTCAATTTCCAAGAGAAATTGGATGATAAAAGGAAAATAACGACTATGTTCCTGGAAAAGAGTGACTAAAGTAACATAAAAAAACTTGGGGCTTGCTCTTCCTTTTCATTCCAAAAGTTCCTATCTGAAACAGTATGAGTAAGACTTCTATTAGCAATGTCTATTCTGTCATTAGTGTCAACCCATACTAATAATTTTTGTTTGGATTTTAGCACATGTAGCAGTACCTATCAGTAAGTTCCTTTTCTTTTCATAAATCTGGTACAAATTAGGATCCCAAAATGAGGAGAAAATTTTTTTCTAATTCTGACCAATTCCATTTAATGCTTCTATTTATAAATATTTCCTCTCCCTCTTACTCAGCAACCTGCTGGGTTATTAAGTACTTGATGGAAAAAATAAACATTTGACTAACAGACTATGTATAAAAGAAATATATTTTTTTCTAAAAAAAAATCAAATAGCTTTTAATAACAAATAAAACTTTCCATGCTGCAAAAAGGAAAGATACATAGGATGGAATATAACAAATATGGAGATACCAACAAGGAATAGAGGAAAACTCAGGAATATATGTTAGGTGTGGGGAGAGGAAAGAGAATAACTGCAATTAGCATTCAAATTTGTAATTGATTAAAAGTTATTGGCAGAATTTAAATCCTCCATACTAGATGAGAAAGAAAAAGAATGACCTAAGCACATACATACTAGCCTAATCTGCCTTTCTACTACATTGAAATATACTTAAGCCAGTCGCATCAGACTGGAACTATTCCTTTACCACAAAAGAAATGCTAATCCCTCTCATTCCATTATTTATGTCTTTCTGGGGGAGGTTTGGTGTCTTCCAAAGATCTCATTGTTAATGCTTTGGGAAGAGCAAGGAAGGAAACTACATTCTTGATCCAAAAACTCTGCTAATACATTTTTGTTTTATGTTGTTCTGCCAGTTACTTCTATGCCTGTTGGTAAGTTATTATTCATCTATTTCTTAATTCCAGTGTCTTTAGAAAATTTTCCCTGATGTAAAGGGTTTTACATTCACATTTTCCAAACCCCTTTGCCTACCCATTCTCTAGTACCCTTAAGTTAATGATGAATTTAGAAATTATAATATGCCCAATGCCTGAAAAAAGAAATAGTAAAGGATAGAAAATTAAGAGCTTGAGGCAATATTTTTCACCTAATGAAGAGAAAAATTTAAATATAATAAGAAATGCTGGAAATGTTTTGATAAAAATTATACATTCATACATTACTGATCCCATTTAAATTAATATAACCCTTTTAGAAAGTAAATTTGCAGTATGTTTCGAGACACACAAAATACAGTATCCTTTAAACTCGCAAGTCTATTTCCAGAGATATGCTCTATGGAATAATTCTAAATATGGAATAAAACCATTTGCATGGTGTTAATTGGTAAAAAAAAAAAAAAAAAATGCAAAGGTTTATTTATTGCAAAGATTTATTTATTATTTATTGCAGTGGTTAAGAAAGAAATCAGACAGATTTAGGTTCAAACCCCAGCTAAAACACTTATCAGATATGTGGCTTTGGGTAAATTATTTAATCATTTAAAAATTTAATTTGTATTATCTCTACTTGGTATTATTTCTAATCATTTCCTTACAAATCTGATGTTCTCATTCTGCTTATTCCACATTACTGGAACAACTGACTAACTTATTTATAAATTAGTGGAAAGCATAAACTCCTACTGAGAGAGAAAAAAAATAGAGAGGGGGTAACAATTACTGGTTTAACATTTTATCAACAACAAATCAAGCCACAAGGGAAACCTGAAGACAAAGAGAGAGGGAGAGCAGAGAAATCAGGTCTCTCAGCCAAAAGAGAGGGGGCAGGAAAATCACGAAAGCTAAGTTCAAATATGGCAACATCCAACTCCTTCCTCTTACTTCGCTTCAAGGGTCTACTTTAGCATGCTTTTCAGTGGAAGATTTCCAAGATAAACACTTTTTCAAAAATCACCAGTGAATATGGACTTCTCTTTTCCCAATTTACTAAGAAACATGTATATATACATACTTTCCCCATCTTTACCTATCTCTTCTAAAACAGACAAAATTTTCACGTTCTAGTTCCATCACTGTAGGATGATAACTTCATTGACTGTTAGTCAGAGAGACCATGTTAGTTATTATTTCAAAGTAACATCTCCAGAAAGGATCTATTTTCATGTTTTTGATACAGGATTCTGAAGTATCTCTGGTAGTTTCGTTCTTTATCTTGCAGTCATAAAGAGCTTCTTCTAAGTTGACTTTAGCTAATGCAATCACTTTAAGCCTTGAGAGAGAGCTGCGTATTTTTATCAGATGATAAAACATTTGTCCATTTTTACTATTTTTAGAAGCACTGGCATTAAGATAAACTCTTTTCAACACACTAGGTAGAGGCATGACTATGACTTGGATGAGATTTTCTGTATAAATTTGCCAGCTGCCTATCTTTTGGCAGTTTTCCGTGTTCCCTCCACTCCACATACAAGACCAGCCATTTTTATCTAATGACTATATTTCAGATCTTTTCTAAATTACCTGTGAGCAAAGAGTAAATCTTTAACTTATTGTAATAACAGTCTTTACAGTCACTATTAGCTCATAACTCATAAATAATGCTTATTCATAATAATTGTATGAAATTAATATTTGATGCCAACTGGAAACTAATATCAAAATATTAATAACTCTGAATACCATAACAATAATAATTAGTGCATGCCTTCTCCCACCACTCCTGTTGCCTACAGTTTATATAAAGTTGTGAGTATACTGATGCCTCCAGCTTTGCCCTTTGGTCAAGGCTACTGGACAAAAACAACAGAGGAGTTGATTTATCACATTTCACTGCATCCTCCTTCTTGGGAAACAGACTGATCTCAGGAATTCTTTTCCTCTCCTGCTATGCAGAATATGATTAGTAACTGAGTTTTTGGAAGTCTGAATTTGTGTTAGGTTGATTAGAGTTCTTGTCCAACCCCACCGACATGCTGTTTGATTGGCAATCCTAGTGTTCTTTGGCCTTCCACAGGGTTCGGGTAACATGCTCTGATTGGCTGTAATCACTTCTCTTAATGCAAAACTGAGGTGGTATATTTCCTCATCTCTTTTGCTTTCAGATTTTTCTTTATTTCCTAAAATTATTGATTTTAAGTTAAAAAATCTCTTCATTGCAAAGAATAAAGAGGACAGACATAATACGGATTTATCATTTTAAAAATTCCTAAAGTAATAAAAATTTTAGCTCATGTATTTTTGAAATAAGGCAGGGAATAAGTAAACTAAGTGATGGACCTAGATGAATAATATAGTGGAAGATAAGAATAGAACAGAGACATTCTGAGATTAGTGATTGAAATAGGAAGAAAAATAAAAGGAGCAAAATTTAAATAAACATTGCTAGGTCTTGAAGAGTTTTAAATTCTCACAAAAATTGAGAAGAAAAGGAAGAGGGGCTAAACTCAATCCCCTTTTGCCCACCATGAAAGACTATAAAACAGGATCAGGAGATTGGAGCTCTTGAGATTTCTCATTTGTCATTATAACTGATCCTTGCTTTGCCTATTCTAGAGCCCTGAAAGATATGCAAGCAAGAACTCGTCTTCCATGCATTACATATCTTACACATGCTATTTCTTAAGCCAGATTTAGAATTCTGATTAAACCCCAGAGACTATCAGAAAGAAAAAAAATAGAAAAATTATCATGACGAAAGTTTTAAACTTGATAATTATAAATAAACTTTCTGTACTGCAAAAAAGGAATATGATGAAACCTGACATGGTACTAGAGGTTTGAAAGGGAGAGAGAATGTTGAAAGACAGAAAAGAAGATGAAGAGGGAACTTAAGTTCATAATCTTTAACTGGTAACCAGTCTCCTGAATGGCTGTGACCTTTGCCCTGGTTAAGAATGTTAAAAATAAAATTATTTCATTAGAAAAAATGAGCTTTACTCATATAATCCACAAACAAGCCTTCCAAAATGGCCTAGATATTTAGGTTGTTAAAGTGGAATTAATATTGAATTAATAAGGGATAGTATATTCGTATAGGATTCAATGTTTCCCAAAAGTCCCTTGTCTGATATTCCAAGTAAATTTTCAATGGGAACTGAGTATATAATTTTAAAAAGTAATAAAGTGTTTTATTTTCTTTTTTAGCAATTGGTCCAGTAGCAGCTGGTAAGTTCCAATTACCTTTTATAGTTTCCGCTGGACCTCTGTAACATCTGCGTTCCTTTGTTTGCACTGACACTTTTAACATATCACATAAAGTAGACCTAAAGAGCAAAAATTTACCAAGGACATTATACAATGACAAAGAAATCAGTACACCAAGAAGATATAGAAATCCCAAATGTGTATGCACCAAACAGCAGAGCTTCATAAAACATGGGAAAGAAAGAAATGAAAAGAGAAAGAGAAAAATTTCAAAATTATGGCTGGGAAATTCAACACCTCATTCTCAGCAATTGATAGAACTACTAGATAGAATGTGAAAGAGGTGAGAGAATTAGTTATGCAGATATCTGATGGGAGAATATTTCAGGCAGAGGGGACAGTGAGTATACCACTCTGGGGTAGGAACATTTCCAGACTATTTAAGAAGAAAGAAAGCAAGCATGGCTGGAGCATAATGAAAAATGAAATGAACAGTAGCTATCAGAGAGCTATGGCAAGACAAATCTTCTAGGGTCTTCCTTTGAAAGGCACTGTGACTCTGACTTTGGCTCAAATAAGATGGAGAGTCATTGGTAGATCTTAAGCAGAGGAGTGGCCTGATGTGACTGAAACTTTAAAAGGATCCCAGTGGCTGTTGTATTCGGATATTGATTAGAAGGCAAGAGTGAAAGAAGAGCAATTTGAGAGACGACAATAACTTGGATCACAGCGAGAGTCATAAATGTGGTGAAAAGTATCAAGTTCTTACAACACACTGAGGGATCTGCTGTCCCACTATAGCATTGTATCTTGATGGTATCTTAAAAAAAAGAATTAGGGAAACGGGAGTAGAGAAGAACTGTGTTTCTGATCCAAAAATACTACCATTAATATACCTTCTTGTTTTGATTTTCAGGAATACCTCAAGATCCTACTACTAAGTTCCTAATCTATTTCTAGTACTTCAGTTTCCTCTATGGTAGAGGTGGAAAAACTTTTGTGTAGAGGGCCAGATAATAAATATTTTAAGCTTTTCAAGCTATAAGATCTCTGTCACAGCTATTCAACTCTGCTGTTATAGCACAAAAGCAGTCATAGACAATATGTAAAAGAAATGGATGTGTCCCAATAAGACATTATTTGTAGACATTGAAATTTGGATTTCATAATTTTCATGTCACAAAATATTATTCTTTTTCTTTCAACCATTTAAAAATGTAAGATCCATCCTTACCTCACAGGACATAGAAAAATAGGTGGCAGACTTGATTTGCACTTTGCCAATCCCTGCTCTAGAGTTTAAATATCCATTTTCATCCCTGGTAAACATACTCCTGCATGTAGTGTTTCTCACAATTTCATTCTTTCTTATTATTTTATGCTTTTTAATGTTACATGTACTAAGTAACATCAACATAAGAGATACGCCCACATTTCAGTACTTGGCAACAAATGTACCTTAAATATTTCATAAAACACTGTCAGTGAATAGTGTTAGCACACATCTTCTAAGCAAGACTATTATTATACAACCCTTATTTTATAAACTGTAATCTTGAAACTCTAGACAAAATTACTAATGACTAATGAAAAGTAAACAATTTTTCATTGAAAAGAAAAAATCATTTAAAGTAGTTAATCATAGGGACATCAGCATGAATCATTCCTTTTTTTCTCTCTCTCCTTTGATTTACAATGAGTTAGACATCCATAAGCAAACCCAAGTGCATCTGTATGTTACAACAGAACACTCAGGAGTTTCTACACACCTGTACATCCAAAAGTGGGCAGATGGCACCTCAGTGGGGCAGTGGATCCAAGGGAGTCCATAAGCCGGCCCCACCTCCACTCCCTGCAAAGGAAGGGTGGGGGAAGGAAACTGGGAGAGGGCAAAACTGGGAAGATACCCATGGCCAATAGAGAATTTATGGAGGTCCAACTTGCCTGACAGGGAAATCTGGCATGCCATTAGAGTGGAATAGAGATGAGTTTTGAGGTAGAGGAGACACAGGAACTCACAAAGTCAGCCTTCCTTCCCCAGGATGACACTGCAAGGCACTGGGCTTTTGGCAGAATCAGATACAACCTCTCTGGCAGAGGAGGTGGAAAGAGAATGTGGTGAGGTGAGCAACCAACCCAGTTGTATGGGTTGCAGCTGGAGGAACCCATTTCACTACACTGGATTTTTGAGAAGAGACCTCCATGACTAGTGCAAGGAAGAAGAAAGGGAAAGAAGCAGACAAAAATATCAAAGGGCACTGAAGGAATGAATTTCCTGCTGTCTGCTTCAGAATTTCAGCAGGAGGTCTACCCACAGACCTCTGGAAGTGCCTCACTCAAGGATCCCCCTACTGGCCTGTAGGCATCTTCCCCCAAAGCCCCAGGTGCTGAGACCACACCTCCCTAGGCTCTGCTGACAGCAGTTTGTGTGTGCTCTGAGTGTAGACCTAGAGTCAGCTCCCAAAGGAGAAACTACAAACTTGAGCTATAGCATCAACTTTTGGAATACAAAAGAAAGTTTTCTAATTGCCAGGCAGCTTAATTGTAAAAGACAAAATAAACATAAGCTCTTAAATAAGGAAGATGTTTCCTACTTCTAATATGAAAGAAAAAGTGCCTATCATCAAATACTATGGAAAATCAAGGAAATAGGTATCAGAAAAAGAAAATAATTCTCCAGCAACCAAACTCAAAGGCATGGAATATTGTGATCTAACTGATAAATAATTCAAAATAGCTGTTATGAAGAAATTGAGTGAGCTACAAGAAAACTCAGAAAGACAATTCAATGAACTCAGGAATAAAATTAATGAACAGAAGGAGTTCTTTACCTAAGAAACTGAAATTATAAAAAAGAACCAAATAGAAATTCTGGAGCTGAAGAACTCATAAATGAGGTGAAGAATGCAATAGAGAGCATAAGTAACAGGGCAGACCAGATGGAAGAAAGAATAAATGACTTGGAAGATAGGAATATAGAAATAATTCAGTTACAAGAGGATAGAGAACTTAGATTTTTTTAAAAAGTGAAGAAACATTACAAGGGCTGTTAGATTCGATCAGAAAGGCAAACATAAGAATAATTGGTGTACCAGAAGCAGAAGAGAAGGAGAAGGAGACAGAGTTTATTTGAAGAAATAACAGCTGATAACTTCCCAAATCTTGGGAAAGAATTGGACATAAAAGTCCACAAAGCAAACAGGACACCCTATGACTTCAATGCAAAAGACCTTCTCCAAGACACAGTATAACGAAACTGTCAAAAATCAATGATAAAGAAAGAATCTTAAAGGCAAGCAGAGAAATAAAGAAAGTAACCTACAAAGTAACACCTATTAAGCTATCAGCAGATTTCTCAGCAGAAACTCTACAAGCTAGGAGAGTGGAATGACATATTCAAAATATTGAAAGGTAAAAATTGCAAGCCAAGAATACACTGTCCACCAAAGTTATCCCTCAGATATGAAGGAGAGATAAAGGTTTTCCCAGACAAACAAAAGCTGAAGGAGGTCACCACCACAAGACCTGCCTTACAAGAAATGTTGAAAGGAGATCTTCTACCAAAAAAAAAAATCAAAAGTACACAAAACTTTAAGTAAGGTGATATATAGACAGACAGAACCATAAAATTGCAAAGCTTTTAGAGAATAGGCTGTTAAATACTTAATTATAGCATAAAGAGGAAAAAAGCACAAATAATTAAAGCTACTTCAATATGGTAACAAACTCACAATATAAAAAGGGATAATCTGTGACAACAAAAACATAAAAATGGAGGAGGAAAAGAATGGAACCTGTATAGGCAAATGAAGATAAGATGCTATCAGCAGAAAAAAAGACTATTTTATCTATAAGATGTTGTACACAAACCTCATGGTAACCACAAAACAAAAACCTAGAGCAGAGATATGAAATAAAAAAAGAAGAAACTGAGAAAAACTTCATAGAAAACCACCAAACTAAAATGGCAGACAGAAACACAAGGGAAAAGAAACAATGGATATATAAAAAACCAGAAAATAAAAAGGTAAACTGCAGTAGTAAGTCCTCTTGTATCAATAATCACTCTAAATGTAAAAGTATTTAACTCATCAATCAAAAGGCACAGAGTGGCTGGATGGATTAGAAACCGAGACCCAAATATACGCTGCCTTCAGGAGACTCATCTCAGCTCTAAAGAAAAACATAGATTCAAAGTGAAGGGGTGGAAGATGATAGCCAAAAGAATTTAGCCAATGGTAGCCAAAAGAAAGTAGATGTAGCCACACTTATATCAGACAAAATAGACTTCAAGCCAAAAAAGGTAACAAGAGACAAATATGGACATTATATAATAATAAGGAGACAACCCATCAAGAAGACAATACATTTATTAATATATATGTACTCAACATAGGAGCACCAAAATACATAAAGCAACTATTAACAGATGTAAAGGGAGAAATTGACAGCAATACAATAATAGTAGGGGCCTTTTTAACACCCAACTTATGTCAATGGATAGATCATCCAGACAGAAGTTCAACAAGAAAAAACTGGCCTTAAATGACACATTGACCAGATGGACTTAATAGATATATATACATGGAACATTCCATCCAAAAGTGGCAGAACACATTCTTCTCAAGTGCACATGGAACATTCTCAAGGACAGAGCATATGTTGGGACACAAAACAAGTCTCAATAAATATAAAAAGATTGAAATTATATCAAGCATCTTTTCTGACCACAATGGTATGAAACTAGGAATCAACTTCAAGAAGAAAAGTGGAAAATAACAAACATGTGGAGATTAAACAATACACTACTGAACAACTGTTGGTTCAATTAAGAAATCAAAGGAGAAACCGAAAAATACATGGAGACAAATGAAAATGAAAATATGACATACCAAAATCTATGGGATACAGCAAAAGCAGTACTAAGACAGAAGTTTATAGCAATACAGGCCTACCATTATAATGATGTACACCTGAAACATATATAATGCTATAAACCAATGTTACTTCAACAAAAAAAGGAAAGAAATTAGAAGAATCTCAAATAAACAACCCTAGCTTCACACCTCTAGAAACTAGAAAAAGAAGAACAAATTAAGTCCAAAGTTACAAGGAAGGAAATAATAACAATCAGAACATAAATAAATGAATTAGAGACCAGAAAAATAATAGTATCAACAAAACTAAGGACTGAAAAGATAACAAAATTGACAAAACTTTAGCTAGACTAAGTAAGAAAAAAAGAGAAAAGACTCAAATAAATAAAATTAGAAATGAAAGAGGAGACATTACTACTGATACTACAGAAATATATAGGATCATAAGACTACTACAAACAACTATATGCCAACAAAGTAGATAACCTAGAAGAAATTTTAAAACTCCTAGAAACATACAACCTACCAAGACTGAATCTGGAAGAAACAGAAAATCTGAACAGACCAATAAAAAGTAAAGACATTGAATTGATAAGCAAAACCTTCTCAATGCAGAAAACCCCGAGACCACACAGCTTCACTGGTTAATTCTACCAAACATTTAGAATTAATGCCAATCCCTCACAAACTCTTCCAAAAAATTGAAGAGGAAGGAACACTTCCAAATGTGGCCAGTATTACCCTGTTAATTAAACCAGGTAAAGACAGTACAAGAAAAGAAAACTGTAGACCAATATCCCTGATAAATATAGATGCAAGAATTTTAAACAAAATATTAGCAAACCAAAATCAAGAACACATTAAAATGATTATACACCATGACCAAGCAGTATTTATCCCTGGGATGCAAGGCTGATTCAACATATACAAATCAATAAATGTAATACATCACTTTAATAGAATGAAAAATAAAAATCATATGATCATCTCAAAAGATACAGAAAAAGCACTTAAAAAAGCACAACCTCTGGAAAACTACTGGGTATTTATCCACAGAATATGAAGTCAAAAATTCAAAAAGACGTACACACACACACCCCCCCCACCCCGTTCATTGCAGCGTTATTCACAATAGCCAAGACATTGAAGCAACCCAAGTGCCCATCAATGGAGGAATGGATAAAGAAGTCAGACAAAGACAAATACCATATGATTTCACTCACATGTGGAAGGTAAACACATAGATGAAGAGAACAAATTCGTGGTTATTAGAGGGAAAAGGGTGGTGAAGGGGAAAAGGGGTAAAAGGGCACATGCATATGGTGACAGACCAAAACTAGACTATTGATGGTGAACACAATGCAATCTATGCAGAAACTGAAATATAATGTACATCTGAAATTTACACAATGTTAAAAGCCAATATGATCACAATAAAATTTTTTAAAAATTTAATGCTACATGTTGATGAATTAAAAAAAAAACCCTGGACAGATTGAGTATACAAGGAATATATCTCAACATAATCAAGACCATTCATGACAAACGCAGCTAGGATTATACTCAAAAGAGAAAACTGAAAGCTTTTCCTTTAAGATCAAAAATAAGATAAAGAGGCCCACTCTCACCACTCTTATTCAATATAGTCCTGGAAGTCCTGGCTAGAGCAATTAGGCAAAACGAAGAAATAATACGTATCTAAAATGGAAAGGAAGAAGTAAAATTGTTGCTATTTGCAGATGATATAATTTTGTATATAGAAAATTCCAAAGACTCAACCAAAAATCTTTGGAACTAATCAACAATTCAGTAAAGTTTCAGGATATAAAATCAACATACAGAAATGTATTGCATTTCTATACACAAATAATGAAACATCTGAAAAAGAAATTTTAAAAAATATCTCATTCACAATAGCATCAAAAACAGTAAAATACCTAGGAGTTAATATACCCAAGGAAGTAAAAGATCTGTATAACAAAAGCTACAAGACTGCTGAAAGAAATCAAAAAAGACATAAACAAATGGAAAGACATCCCATGTTCATGGATCCGAAGAATTAATATTGTTAAAATGTCCATACTACCCAAAGACATCTATAGATTCAATGCAATCCCCATTAAAACACCAACAGTATTTCACAGAAATAGAAAACCAGTCCTAAAATTTGTATGGAACCACAAAAGACCCTGAATATCCTAAGCAACCCCAAGATAAAAGAACAAAGCCAGAGGTATCACACTTCCTGATTTCAAACTATACTATAAAGCTATAAAGCAATAAAAATAGTATGGTCATGGCATAAAAATGGAAGAGAATATAGAGCCCAGAATTAAACCCCCACATATATGGTCAACTAATATTTGACAAGGGAGCCAAGAACACCCAATGGGAAAAGGATAGACTCTTCAACAAATGGTACTAGGAAAACTGGATAAACACATACAGAAAAACGAAATTGAACTCATGTCTTACATCACTCACAAAAATTAATTTGAAATAGATCAAAGATTTAAACATAAGACGTTATATCATAAGACTCCTAGAAGAAAATACAGAGAAGAATCTCCTCAATGTTGGCCTTGGCAATGATTTTCTGGATATGACACCAAAAGCACAAACACCAAAAGTGAAAATCAACAAATGGGACTACATCAAACTTAAAACTTCTGCACAGCAAAAGAAATAATTAACTAAATGAAAAGGCAAACTATGGAATAGGAGAAATTTTTTGCAAACCATTTATTATCAGAAGTCAATATCAAAAATATATAAAGAACATATACAACTCAATAACAACAGACAACTTGATTAAAAATTGGGCATAGGAACAGAATAGACATTTTTCCAAAAAAGACATCCTAATGCTCAAGAAGTACATGAAAAGATGGTCAACAGCACTAATCATAAGGAAAATGCAATCAAAACCATAATGAGATATCACTTCATATCTGTTAGAATGGCTATCATCAAGAACACAAGAAACAACAAGTGTTGGTGAGGATATGGAGAAAAGGAAACTCTTATACACTGTTGGTGGGGATGTAAATTGGTTCAGCTGCTATGGAAAACAATATGGTGGTTCCTCAAAAAATTAAAAATAGATCTACCATATGATCCAGCAATTCCACTTCTGGGTATATACTCAAAGGAAATGAAAACAGAATATCAAAGAGATATACGCACTCTCACATTTATTTCAGCATTATTCACAACAGCCAAGGTATAGAAACTATCTGCCCATAACAATGATAAAGAAGATGTAAGATACACACACACACACACACACACACACACACACACAATGGAATATTATTCAGCCATGAGAAAGGAGGCCATCCTGCCACTTGCAACAATATAGATGGACCTTGAGCATATTAATCTAAGTGAATAAGTCAGAGGAAGACAATTACTGTCTCATGTCATTTACATATGGAATCTACAAAAGTCAAACTCATAAAAACATAAAGTAAAATGGTGGTTACCAGGACATTGGAGGTGGTGGGATAGGACAGATGTTGTTTAAAGATACAAAGTTGCAACAGGCAGTAAATAATCCCTAGAAATCTAATGCACAATATAGTGATTACAGACAATAATGTTGTATTAGAACTAGAACTCAATGATTCCAACCAGTACAAAGAAAGGATCATTACATAATGTATATGTAATAATATGTATGTATTACATATAAAGGTGCTAATTGTTGCTACAATGGAAATCATATTACAGTATATAAATGTATCAAATTAACATATACACCTTAAATTTGCATATGTCAAATATATTTCAATTTTAAAAAATAAAGTAGCTAATCACAGGTCTTTCTAAACTATAACAGGCCAAAAGAAGAGGGAAAGGAGATGGAGGTTCTCCACATTTAAATAAATAGAACTTAGCTGTTCATGAATACATCTAGAGAATAAGATTCTACCCAGTGCAGAGGCTAGGGAGTTGGGGAAGGAGGGAAAGCCCATACCTACTGACGTGTTTGTCTTTGTCTCTTGCAGTGGACAGCTCTGGAAAAATCAGTAAGTTTGGATCATTTCCTTGCCTTACCTATTTCTGTGTCTAGGACCTTTGAGTCTTTGTTCCCAAATTTTTTTGTATTCCAAGTTCTTCTACCTTAGAGTAGTCAGTATTTCTTAAATAAGCAATTTTCTCCTATTTTGATTTCCTCTTATCTATTTTCCTTTTGTAACAAAATATAATGGTCTTGTATTTTATTCTGGTTATTTACTACCAAAGATTATTGGTAGCATATATTTCCAGCTAGTCTATCACAAGAGAACTTGTTTTCCTTGTGCTATAATTTGGCAATGGATAATTTTTACTAAAGAAAAAAATTCCCTAAAATTCACGTAAAGAATAGGAGTCTGGACAAGACAGTGATTTTGATAATTGACCAACAATACACATTTTTCAAACTGATCTGAAGAAGAGTGGATAAAAAATTTACTTGTGAAAGAACATTGAAAAGTAGGAAATGTAATAGTTTGAATTTTGGCAGAATAAATAATACTTAAGGAATAAATCCATACACTATCTAAATGACATCCCAAAGATAACCTTCTCTGTGGAGTAAGACATGGAGCTTTGGCCAGCAGCACTTCTGAAGCACTTCTTCTGAAGAAACAGAGGATTTTATACTCTCTGGAGGTCTCATTTCTGCATGCACCTACAAAGGGTATCACTGGGAGCTGGGTTCTCCTTGAGTTAGAAAATTCCCACTAATCTTTCTTTTGTATTTCATTTTTAGCACTAGCTCCTATGGGTAAGTACCTTAAGTGTTTTCAACTCTGATATTTTTCATTGTTTATGGTTACTTTCTGGCCTGGCTTTTTCTAAAAATTCCCAAAATAGGAACTTGTGGTTCAAAGGTCATTTTAAACATCCTTATTCTCCAAATTCTTCCAATATTTTAAGTAACTATCTTTGGACAAATTGTTGTAGAGGAGATGAAGTTCATACAAATAGATGCCACAATCTCTGGCCATCTTCTAGACTCAGAAAAAGAATCTCCTCACTGACTCTCAGCAAAATATAATGAGAGAAAAATTGGTTTCTGAATGACATTAGTTCTTTGCTGGTTATTTAGAACTCTTTTTTAGTTATAAGTGAGGCCCACGGAATCATATTAATAGAAAAAAAAACTAGTTAAGAACAAAATCTTACCTACTTTCTATTGCTTTCCAATAAATTCACCTTTGAGGGAAAGTAGGTATTGAGCACCTCCTACATACTATGCACTGTGCTAGGCATTTTCAAAAAACTTCTATCTTATTATTACCATAGCCCTACCTGGTAGCTACTATTATCCCCCACTTTACAGATCAGGAAACTGGTTCAGACATTTGCCCGGGGTTAAAGAGTTGGTAAACAGCAGTGTCAGGATCTAAACCCAGGACTTTCTGTATACGAAGTACACGCTCTTTCCACACCAACACATTGCCTCCTATACCAAACCACAAATGCCTTTTTGGTGATTAGTCCTGAAACTTTATCTATAACTCAAGTGCTTGTAAAATACAAATATACATCTACTAAAGAAGCTGTATAATTAAATATACACAAAAGAATCCTTTTAAAAATAGAAGACATCCCATTTAAATTAATGTTTGGCTTTTGACTTTTCTAAATTCAGATTTCTCTATATAAGGATTATCTAATGCATGGCTTAGTTCTTCAAGGAAATCATGTAAAACAAAATAGAATAATTTCTAAAACTCTGTAAATATATAATCATAAGAAGCAAGTAAAACTTAGATGTGGTGAGATACATTTCAAGCATCTCAAACATTCTAAACATGGACAAACACAAAATATGTCTTTTTTATCATGTTTAAGCTTCACTCTTCTTTCTCAGTTCACACTAAAAGGAGGGCGGGTTTGTGAGTGTAGGGGAGGAGATGAAGTTGAAAGGGACAATTATTTTCTTTTGATTCACAATACAAGAAACAATATGCATTCAGAGCAGTCATGATGTGTCTGCATCACGTAAATGTCCTCCCTACATGGGGAAAGTGGTAAGACTGTGTGTTTTCTTTACAAAAAGAAAGAGCGCCATGAGAAGGGATTGCATAGGCCAAGTCCCTTCCTGGAGGCGAATTAGTTTTTAATGAATATGTCTTTTTAAACTGCCAGAAAAAAATCAGTTTAAACTATATTTTAACATTTTTCTTGTAAAAGATATATTCTTATTGACACTATTTCAAACATATTCCTCCCAGTTGATATTTTTAGTAAAAGGAGGTTAAGGTTTAATTCATTGTTCAAAGAAAGACTTAAGATACATCATCCCACCAAACTTCATCATCCTCTCAAGTTGCCTCTTATTTTCTCACCTCCACATTCAGCTAATAAATATATGATCTTTTAAAATGTAAATTCACGGCCTAAAAACTATGGTGATTCATCTCTCTAATGCTTAACAGATCTTTTAGAGTCTAGATCTGATTGTGCTCTCCCTGACAGCCACTGGATTAAGAATCTAGTAAGATTAGTTTCCTAATAAAGCCCATGGTCTATTTTCTCCATTATTTTAAGTATCATATAACTAGAATTCTTAACGTGATAGTTATTTCATGATATCTTTCAGCTTTAACAAAAATTAACCCAATTTAAAATTTTTAATCAGCCTGAATATGTTACAATGATCACCAAGGTTTTGATTAAATCTTTCAAATGTGTTAGAATTTTGTTATATAGGCTACTGCCTGCAATAAACGGACTTTCAGCCAGGGCTTACTAATCTTCGTATTATGGACATTATGAGGTCCAAGAGAAAGAAAAGATTTTTTCACTATCTAGAAATCTGGGAGAAGAGAGAGAAGAACTTAGAATTTGGTAGAATATGATTTGCAGCCTACTTCTGCAATGCAAAGTTGACATAAAAGTGAATCTCACTTTATGGGATAGCTAGGTTCCTGAAAAGTAAATCTTAACAAAACTACTATTAATTAAGTTCAAGATAGAAAATATATAGCAAAGATATTAAAACAATCAAAAGTATGAAGACACTATTAGAAGTGACTAGAGGTATTTTTCAGTGTAGTGGGGAAAAGAATAAAATTCTTTTAAAATCTATAAAACTTGGACAGGTGTAGCTAGGATAAACACGGATTGTTTCATTAAATCCTAGAATTCTTAATTTTGATTAACAAAATCTATATAATTTAGGAGGTAAATTTAGGTTAAAAAAAATGGGTCATGCCATTGTCATTCCAAATTGTTCTCCAGTGTTCTTTAATTATTTTTGATTGAGTTGTAGTTATTTTCAAATATTGAATTTAGAAAGAAGAAAAAGCAGCCCCAACATCGGGAATTGGTCTGACACTTACAACGAGGCCTCAGTCTTGTTAGAAGCTGGCCTGGTGCTCACTACTAGGCATGTTATTCTCCTGTTGGACAGAAGTTATCTCACAGAACATTAACATCAGACAAGCACACTCTGAGAATGAAAAAGTGAGACAAAACAAGACCAACATGTCACTTTGTCTAAGCACAGACAAAAACAAGTCACTGCACAACACACAAAATACCAAACTTCTCCCCGTGCTGGCTCATATGAATGACTGCTGCTTCTTTCAAACTACAGCTCTATCCTTTCTGTGGTCAGCCCTGTCTACAGATAAGATTTATCAAGATGCCCAATCATAGAATTTCCCCCACTTCCTGACAACAACCAATCTAGAGTGAGCCTCTCTTTCCACAGATCCTCCTCAAAATCACCCAACCAAAGTGCAGATCCTACATATGTTCTAACACTTTCACGCAAAGACTCCCTGTGACCCTGATGGTGTGTGTTCTCCCTCCCAGCAACAAGTAATAAACCCAACTTATTTGCCCACTGAAAAAAGGGGTCATGCACTAGTATACACAGCAGTAAACATGAAACAAATTACCCTCAAGGGATGATAAAACTAAAAATATTCACCTAACAAGAAAAATCAGCTTGTTTAGGAGTACAGTCCATAGAATTAATAAGGTTAGAAGCTTCAATGGAAAAACACACTCTTCTCCACACCACATCCCCAGACAAAATAAGCATCCATTGGTAGTACTGTCGGATATCAAAATATTCTGGACTGACTGTCTTTCTCAACACAAAAATACTTGGGAAATATTACCATTGGTTTTCATTAGGAAATTTGAAATGGGATTGCCTAGAATAAAATTTCATTACCCATATCTTTGTGAACTAGTGCTAGGGAGGAAAATACACAAAAGGGCTCAGAAAGTATTACTGCAAGGTTCCTAATGTTATTTTTATTTTGGTGTCAAAATTTAAAATACCAAAGAGAAAACATTAAACTACAACATCCCTTTGATTTATAGTTACTTTTCTACCTAATATAGGTGTGTTTCACTTTTTTCAACTGGTAAAATTCAGTTTTTCAAGCATCAAACCCTAAATGTACCAAAAAACTTTCTATGTAAAAAAAAAGGCAAATAATTAATTTTTAAGTGAGAAATCTTCCTGTAATGTAATTAACCATTGCTCTAAATTATTTGGTTGGAACTAAGAATGCCTTGTCTTGATAGATCTGAGAGAGTTTTGCGTGCACCTTCTCATCTGTGGTAGTAATAGCCAGTATCGATTCACTACTTACTATATTCCACGCACTGTACTGAGGGCTTTACTTAGATAACATTATTTCATCCTCATAGTGCTTCTCTGAAGGAACTACTACCATAGCTCCCATTCTACAGATAAGAAAGTGCAGTTTGTCCAAGGTCACTCAGCTCCTTAGGTGTGGAGCCAGGATTTGAACTAGTCTGACTGGAAAGCCCATGCTCCTTAAACATTTATCTAGAATCCTTAAATAACTCTACAAAGTGGGTAGGGCAAACTAAATATGAGGACAGTGAGTCTTTGGGGATTAATTGATTTACCCAAATAAACCCAGCTAGCATGGATACTAAACCCAGTTGTTCTGATTCAGCTTTTAATTCAGTATTCTTTCTACTACATCGAATATTAAATATTACTTTTCCTCAAAGCAAGGCATGCTTCTGCTCCACAGCAAGAATTCATTCAATTCTCCTTGGTAGCATAGAGATTGTTTTTCCTTAATTCAGGGAACCAAATCACTAAACAAAAAAAAAAAGCAGAAGCTAACAAATTCAAGTTTATTAGATCACACACAAATTGAGACATAGCAGAGCTAATTTACTTATACATGATAAAAGGGACCTAAAATTTTTGCAAAGTGAGTTAGCAAATATTACAAGAAGCAGTCTAAGGCATTGGTTAAAACTGAATTCTAAAGTCTGACTACTCAGGTGCAAATCCCAGCTCCACCACCTACTAATTCCGTGACCATATTCACATTCATTTAAGCTTTCTGTACCTCAGTTTCTTCATCTGTAAAATGGGGATAATAATAGCACCTACCCTATACGATTGTTGTGAGGATTAAATGAGTTAACACATATAAAGTGCTCAGAATGTTGAGTGCCTGATGTATGGTAAGCTCTCAATAATTATCATTTAGCACTATTATTACTTTTGCATAATTATAGACACTTTTATTCAATATGGAAATCATATTTTGAGTTTCCTCTAAGAACAGCTATCACTTCTTTCCACAATTTTTCCTAAAAATAAATTCTCTTTTCAGAATATGTTCTCCTTTAGCTATTAAGCATTACTCATTAGCCACCATACTTAACAAATGCCAGTTCATTTATAGTACATTTTACTTTTTCTTTCATTAATCTTCCAATTTATTGAAAAGAGTCTGAAATGTTATTGATATTTATATAATTTTATATGTAGAGTTCCACCATTTTATATTTTCAGGAAAATCTCAAGTTATCTCCATTTTTTCAGTTTCAGACAAAAAAAAACCAATATCAAGGAAAAAAAGTAGAAAGAAAGAGAAAGTACTTTATATCTTAATTGTGCACTTTTCTTGTGTGCTCAGTTATATTTCCAGGTTACATGGACAGAGAACTTGCAAAAATATCAGATTCTAAAGGCCAGATTCTAAAAAGTAAAGGCACTACAAATTCTCAGAGTAGCCAAGAAGAAAATAAGGAAGCACTAAAGAAGGAAAACTTATTCATAGATTCTGATGAATCCTTAACATCAAGACATGAAATGGAGTCAAAAAGCAAAGCAAAAGGTATTGAACTGGAGAAAGGCAAGACAGGAATGGAGGTCAAGGTAAACAAGAGTGACGTTAGGATACCAAAAGGACAGGAGGCCCAAGTAAAGAATAACAAAGCCAAAATAACACAAGGACAGGAGGCCCAAGAGAAGAAGAGTGAGGCCAGAATACCACAAGGACAAGAGGCCCAAGTAAAGAAGAGTGAGGCCGGGATACCACAAGGACAGGGCTCCCAAGAGAAGAAGAGTGAGGTCAGGATACTAAAAGGACAGGGGTCCCAAGCAAAGAGTGAGGCTGGGATGCTAAAAGGACAGGGGTCCCAAGAGAAGAAGAGTGAGGTCAGGATACTAAAAGGACAGGGGTCCCAAGTAAAGAAGAGTGAGGCTGGGATACCGAAAAGACAGGAGGTCCAAGATAAGAGTGAGGCCAAGATACCACAAGGACAGGAGGCCCAAGACAAGAAGAGTGAGGCTGGGATACCACAAGGACAAGAGGCCCACAAAATGAGTGAGTCCAGCATACCACAAGGACAGGAGGCCCAAGAAATTATGAGTGACGCCAAGATACCACAAGGACAAGAGGCCCAAGAAAAGGAGATTGAGGCCAAAATACCGCAAGGACAGGAGGCCCAAGAAAAGAAGAGTGAGGCTGGGAAACCACAAGGACAGGAGGCCCAAGAAAAGAAGAGTGAGGCCGCGAAACCACAAGGACAGGAGGCCCAAGAAAAGAAGAGTGAGGCTGGGAAACCACAAGGACAAGAGGCCCAAGAAAAGGAGATTGAGGCCAAAATACCACAAGGACAGGAGGCCCAAGAAAAGAAGAGTGAGGCTGGGATACCACAAGGACAGGAGGCCCAAGAAAAGAAGAGTGAGGCCGGGAAACCACAAGGACAAGAGGCCCAAGAAAAGGAGATTGAGGCCAAAATACCACAAGGACAGGAGGCCCAAGTAAAGAATAATAAGGCTGGGATACTACAAGGACAGGAAGCCAAAGAAAAGAAGAGTGAGGCTGAAATACCACAAGGACAGGAGGCCCAAGACAAGAAGAGTGAGGCCAAGATACCACAAGGACAGGGGTCCCAAGAAAATAAAAGTGAAGCCAGGATACTAAAAGGACAGGGGTCCCAATTAAAGAGGAGTGAGGCTGGGATACCACGAGGACAGGGGTCTCAAGGAAAGAAGAGGGAGGCCAGGATGCCAAAAGGACAGGGGTCCCAATTAACGAGGAGTGAGGCCAGGATACCACAAGGACAGGGGTCTCAAGGAAAGAAGACTGAGGCAGGGATACCACAAGGACAAGGGTCCCAAGGAAAGAAGAGTGAGTCTGGGATATCGCAAGTGTCAGAAGCCCAAGACAAGAAGAGTGAGGCCAGGATACCACAAGGACAGGAGGCCCAAGTAAAGAATGAGGCTGGGATACCACAAGGACTAGGGTCCCAAGTGAAAAAGGAGAATTCTGAGGAAAAGGAAAGCAGACCAAAGAAAAGGGAGATGCAGAGAAGAATGAAGATACAAAATAAATAGATGCTAAAAACAAGAAAGGTGATGAAGGAAAGCACAAAGTAAAAGGAAAGAAAGAATCAGAAGTCAAGGGTTAAAAAGCAAAAGGTTCAGTGACAGGCAAAGGCAAGTTAAGGAAGGAAGTACAACAAAAAGGTCGAAGAGTAAGGGTAAATAAAAGGAAGACCCATAAGTCAACTGATTATTATGATTCCCATCCTCCAGATACAAGTCATATCCCAGCCATTGCCTAAATAGATCACAATTATAGAATCCATTTAACCTATACCTCTGCAGAGTTTCTGCTCTTTACACGTTTTACCATTTTTAGACCTCTCAGCCACAACCTCAGCTTTCAACTGTTTTGTAAGTTGGTACTTATTTAATCAAGAAAGACTGGATTTTTTCTGAAATAAAACATTTTGATTAAAGAAATCCTTTAACAAGTATATCTCTGTGATAGCCTAACCAATCAACCAACCAATAATTCCTCACAGTGGCCTAAAGTTTGCAAAGCACTGTTCTAGCACTAAGGGGCAAACAGAAAAATCTAAGTCTGAGTCTGTGCAATCAAGTAGCTTGTAACATATATAGTGATGTGTAAAAATTAAAATATGTGTCAAAATATAGTTTAGATGGACAATATAATACAAGTTAGCAACCTCTTGGGAGGAGAAGGTAAAGGAGATACCTTCATTGGAAGAGAGTGGGATATATGATGTGTCGCAAAAGATGGTAAGATACTGACATGCTGAGTGAAGTAGAAAGAGTGGAAGAAAAGAAAAGGGATTAAAGACTGCCACACCATACTCTAGACAATGTTATTGCTGCAGCAGGCTCATGAGAAGCATTCCGGGGTATAATTTTCAAAAGGAGGGTTAGAAGAAGATTCTGAAGAGATCTGAAAAACAAACCAGGAAGTTATATTCTACTCATTGGGCAACTGAAAGCTTTCTGAGTTGTTTGAGAAGGAGAGTAAAGTGAACAAGATCACGTCACAGAAAAGAATGTTAACCTTGCGATTGTGCAAAATAGACTGGAGAAACATCATAGGTAGTAAATCTAGTTAAGAAGTACTTGGAATAGTAAGCAATGGAAAGAGAATAAATAGAAGGGATAGATGTGAGATATTTTTTCAAAGAAAAATCACTACGTCATGACTGACTATACATGCATAAAGAACAGGACAAAGACAAAACAACTGACGACACCATAACTTTTGAAACTGAGTAACAGAAAATCAATAACAAACTAGGAGCTAGTTTGTGGGACAGGGAGACAATAATAAATTGTTGAGTTTAAGGGGACAAACAATAACACTTATAATTTGAGAGGTGTCAGTCCAATGGAGGTAACAATTGAAGCCGTAAGAGTAAATGAGCTCCCCAAAGGAGAAAGTACAGAAGTAGCAAAAGCAGAGGTCCAAGAACCGAGTCTGTTCTATGTAATAGGCTAAAGAAGAAAATTAACTAAGTTATGGGAAGATACAAGGAATATCTGTATAATGTTCTGATAATTAAGGAAGATGAGAGTTTCAAAAGTAAAGGATAATTAAAGTATAGCTGAGACTTCAAGAAGAATAAGGACTGAAAGAGACCATTGTAGTTGCTACTTGGAGTTGGCTAATAAACGCGTAAAGAGCACTTTCCAAAGAGAGGTAACTAGGAGAAGGAATTTAAACAGGCAGAATATAGAAACACAAGTAAGTAGCTGCAGGATGTGCCTTCCAATAAAATTAATTTTATCACTTTAAAAGTATAGTTTTTAGGAATTTTATTTTTATATTACTCTGTTCTGTGCCGGTTAGCCCATACTCTGAATATTTCGTTCAGTTCTGTCACGGGATATGGATAAACTAGGGTTTCTTCAGGGGAGAAAGACCGTGATGGTAAGGGGACTCAAATCGTTTCAAGTAAGCAGGAATTTTCACAGTTTCACCTGGGGGAAAAGAAACATGCAAGGAGGCAACGAAAATTATTTTCAAATATATGTTGGTACAACATGGATTAGAATATTTTGTATGGCCCCAAGGAAATAAGACCAGTGAACGGAAGGTTCAAGGTAACAGATTTTTATCTCATCATAAAGGGAATTAGGATGCCTAAAAGAATCTAAGCAAGAATTTAAGACTGCAGGATCATTTGGTGCTGCAGAGGAGATTCTTAGGAATCTGCTGAGTGGTTAGAATAGATTATCTTTATGGTTCCTTCTAAATATGAGTCTATAATTCAAAGTATATAATTTTTTGGACTAACTAGATGTCTTCCAAGGAAGCTTTTCAAACCATCTACTTTAATATGCTAGGATTCTTTAGAAAAGTTTGGCCAAAAAAGAGGAAAACCCGGGCCAGCCCCGTGGCCAAGTGGTTAAGTTCACACGCTCTGCTTCGGCAGCCCAGGGTTTCAGCAGCTGGGATCCTGGGTGACGACATGGCAGGGCTCATCAAGCCATGCTGAGGCAGTGTCCCACATAGCAGAACCAGAGGCACTCACAACTAGAATACACAACTGTGTACTGAGGGGCTTTGGGGAGAAGAAGAAGAAAACAAAACAAAAAAGACCAGCAACAGATGTTAGCTCGGGTGCCAATCTTTAAAAAAAGAAGAAAAATTTTAGTCCCTGCCCAAAGTATAAAACGTTTCATAAATGGTTCATGCTACCTAATCACAAGCTGAAGAGAGCAGCTCCACATCTTCCAGTACAACGCATACCACTGTGTGGATCCCTACTGTGTGTTCACAGACCTGCGTCAGATGTAGAAGCCTAAGTTAATTTTAAAATTCACAAAACCATGAGGCTTTCGATGAACCACATAGATTTAGCAAGACTGAATTGCAAAAAAAAAAAAAAAAAGGAGGGGAGGAGCAAGGACAAATATTAAACATGAAATTTTTATCTTGTAAGTTACTTCTATGTCTCTGGAATACACACATTTAGAGGTTTTACCAGCCTTAGTTGACTTATCTCTTGCATATATTATGCTATTATCAGGGGAAAATGTGACCAGAAGACTTTTCATATAATTAAAATATCTAGGTTTTAATGATCCTTGAGTCATTTTTCTCTAGCTCTTACTGGTCCATGTGGCAGCTAGCTAGTAGGTTTTAGAAGGCTGTGACAAATGCAGCTTCTCAGATTTCCGCTAAGAAGCAAGGACCCTTTCAAGGTAACTTCTGAAAAACAGTAAACAGACTTTAGCAATCAAGCTCAGTTGATGCCATATCTGAGTGTATATCCCCTGAACCAAGGATTCAGAAGAGAGGAATCCATAGAAACCTTCCTGTATCTTCTCCATAACTTCTAACTTGCAGTCAAAACATTTTCATTCCCACTAGATCTTTGAAGGCAAGTCATACATAAGAAACTCCAACTACAAAAACTGTGTGAACCATCCTCTAAAAGGCCACCAAAAAAACAGGTCAATTAAAAACAATTGTTAATCCTTCCTTAAAGATACAGGTACAGAAATCATAAAGGACTCCCAAAAAATGAAGGAGAAAAGAGTGAGCTATCAAAATGGCATCATGTTTAGCAAAATGATGCAAATATTAGGAAAATGAATAAGTATATATACTTTCAAAGTAGTTTAGATATAAAGGTAGGAATTAACAGAAAATCAACAGTGGTAAATTTTGTTTACAAATAAGCTAACACAAATGTCAAATGCCAAGACCAAGCAGAAACATGCATCAAAACTTCAAGTCAGGTGCTAATAGAGCGGATCTTAAAAGCTCTCATCACAAGGAAAAAAGAAAATTTGTAACAATGTGAGGTGATGGATGTTAACTAAACTTATTGTGGTAATCATTTCACAACATACACATATGTCATATCATTATGTTGTACACCTCAAACTTACACAATGTTATATGTCAACTATGTCTCAATAAAACCAGGGGGAAAAGTCAAGTATTACACCTTAAATACATACAATTTTCATTTGTCGATTATACCTCAATAAAGATGGAAAAAAAAAAAGAATGAGTGGAAGTGTTACCATTAGTAATTTTATGTTTAGAAGAAGAACATAAGGAAAGTACAAAAGTGAGTTTAGAGATAACAAAGATAAATAAACGTTGCAAAGATATTGGGAAATAATTTATGTAAAATCAGTTAGTGTGGCTCCTATCCCAACTAAAGATCTCCTGGGTTAGAATTGCATTAAAAATGCAGTTTCCCATAGCCCCAAATGTCTCTCACTCTAGGTTATAATTGGCATATCTAGGAAGTGAATCAGGGAGCTGGTGAAAGAAAAGAAGTACAGAATTTAAAAACATGATCCAATCGGATAAAAGGATAAATTTAAAAAATGATCAGAATATTCAGTTTTATATTTGATGAATTCCATTACTCTCCCCCTCTAAGACAGTCAAGGATAGGAAAAACAACCAATGTCCCTGCTCTCTACCTGGGAGGTTTCAATCAGTTTTTGAAGAAATATAAGCCTATTCTTTTAGCACTTAAAGAATAAAGATATTTTAATCCATCATCATCCAGAAGCCTAAGCATCTGCCAAGACTGGGAAGTCAAACCTAAAAGATGCCACATTACAGATTATATACTTCGTAACACAGGTCTCAAAACTATTTTACTTAAATCTTTATTAAATTTCAAAAATTAAAAACTCGCAATGTTATCAGTGTTAACTTCCTCTGAATCTCTCCATATCTTAACACATGCTCATATAAACATATATGCAAATAGGGTCAAATTGTATACATTATTCTGCAACTTGATTTCTTCACCAAGCAATCTATCATGTACATCCCTCCAGGTCTAAAGCACTAGCATAGCATTCAGCAGTGTGGATGAACTTTTGCTTATTCATTTCCCTAAAGACGTGCATTTGGTTTGTTTCCAGCTTGTTGCCACTGGCCAAATGCTGCTGCAATTGCCAGGTGGTACTGTAATAAACATCTTTGCACATGATGAGACTTTTATTTATCTAGGCTAGATTTCGAAAAGCGGTATTGCTAGGTCAAAGGAAATATGTATTTTTAATGTTAATAGATATTACCTAATAATTTTCCTCCAAATTTGCAATAATTTACAGTCCAATAGGAGTGTGTGTGAGTTCTGTTTTCCCCACACTTTCTCGACGGTGCTGCAAACAGCACTATTTTCAATTTTCGTCTATTTAATAAGAAAAATAGTATCTAACTCTTGCTTTAATTGCATTTTCCCAACTACTGGTGAGACCAAGCATTTTTTCATAGCTTTATTGGTTTTTTGAATTTCCTGTTCTGTAACTTATTCATTTTTCAAACTCGCAGTTTGTCCTTTTCTTATTCAATTTGTAAGTGCTTTTTGTATATTAATGTTTTATCTGCCATTTGTGTTGAAAATAAATGCTTTCCAAATCTACTTCTTCTTTCTATACATCGAATTCATTCAACCTGTCCCCTAAAATTCTATCCTGAATCTGACTACGACTCA